GTTCTGCGAAGCGTGCTCAGCTAAAGAATGAGCCTTAGCAGTTGTGCAGGCTTCTCCAGGCGATTATAGTATACGTTCATGCGGAGGATCAGATGAAGTCTTAAGTCTTGCTGCGTAGCGAGGAGCGGCATTTTCTTAAGCTTAAGATACAAGTTGGCTGTAGATGAGGGCATCATCAAGAAGTCTGGCCCGCCGTAAAAAAATTGTTAAGTTAATTGAATGTAGTCAAAAAATAACCAAACAGACCCAAAAAAAAAAATAAAAAAAAAAAAAAAATAAAAAAAAAATTTTAATTTCATTCCTACTTGGTTAGCATAAGGGTTCATGTCCTACCATCCTCTCAACACTTTCTTCTATTTCTTCTTTCTTACCCTGTCCCCTCCCCCTTTCTGGACTGGTATTCTCCTCATCTTCATTTTCTGTCCTGGTTCTGTTTGGCAAGGTCTTGTCGGTGTTTTTGCTGAAATAGAATTTATATTTTTTTGATTATTGTAACGAAATAAAAAATAACAAGAAATAACCAAAAACCACAACCTACCCACCTTTTACGCAACTCCGCCTCTGATTGTCTGTCCCCTATCGACGACCCCATACATTTCCTTCTTGTAGTTTCCTAGTTTGTTCCTTTCCCATGGTTAGTTAAAACTTATATTTTTGTTCGTTTTTTAACTTTTCCTCTTCTTATTCAATCGTTCTTTCGTTGAACCTTTTTTCGTTATTTTCTCTCAATTCTTATAACATCTTTCTTCTTTTTTGATCACCCTGCCCCAAGCTCCGGTGTCCCTTACCCATCCCTCCCTCTTAGCACACCACCCACACCACCTTCGTACCCCTGCGATACAAAATATAGAAACACAAATATCACAGCACCACTGTGGCCGATTGATTTGTCCCTACCAGCGACTGAATCCTCCCTTACTTACCCCCTTCAATCTTACCGCCTCTTCCTTTACTTAAGTACTAGCTTTTCCTCCCTCAACAACCTCCACTTGAAATATTAAAAATTTAGGGTGAACAGCACTTTCCTTGTTGCTCTTCCCCTCTCTTCTGTTTGTTAATGATTGTCTAGGTGTTAAGTTAAGGGAGATTTACTTTCGTCCTTTAGGTCGAATCCGGCCAGGTTGGAGTGATATTCCTTTCTGCCTGTTGCTGTTGAGGGTCGGACCACTTTTTTTTGGTTCTTATTCTTTAACGCCTCACTGTTAGTCTTCGGTTAGGGTTTTTGGATTTGAGTTCCGCATTAAGACTTAAATTTTCGGTTCCGTCTTGCCGCCCCCCTCCCATAAAAAAAAAAAACCTCCAACCATTTCATTTTTTTTGTCACTTTACTATCCAAGTTATTTTTTTTAGTTTAATTGATACTTGTGGCGCTGTTGGGCGCGGGGGTGTGCGGGGGGAGTGGTAGTTTGATGTTGTGCTGACCGTGAGAAATAACCTATAACCTCGCTGTCACCCGTATATTTTAAATCTCAGCTCCTTTCCTACTCTCTCTACACACTCACTTTTTTCCTGCTTCCGTCCCATCATCTTCCGCACCCCTTCAATACACCCAGACCCAAGAACCCAATTTTTTGTAGTAACCCAACCGACTTCAACCCTCCTACGTCCCCCCCCTCAACACTCACTCCACAACCATCTCGCGCATCACTAATACCAGCCCCCAACCCACCAACCCGCCCTTACGACCACCCCACACCCTCTCCCAAGTACCAAACCACCTCTCCCCCGCCCAATCAATTTATACCCAGCATTCCCCCCCACCCACCACCCCTCCCCACCCCAGACAACAACCCTCCCATCCCAACATCCCACCTCTCCCTCTAAGTCCCCCCCTCTTGCTCTCCTCTTGTCTCTGTCTCTCCTAAACATACCTTTGCCACTACACACTCCTCACATTATTTTTTTCTTGGGAACAACCAAAAATTCTAACCCCAACAATCATCCCTCCCCCCTCCCCCACCAACTCACCTCCACCACTACTATCTTCTAAACCAACCTAGGATTCTTCTGGCATCCTTATTCAATCCTAAAAAAATAGCGCTCCAAAAAAATCTTTAAAAAACACCACCAAAAGTAAAAAATATTACCCAACTCCTGCCTCCCCTATTCCAAAATAGACACTCCTCCCCCGGCCACTGCCCCCCCCCCACCCCGCCCTCAAGCAATCAACAGTATCCAAAATCTAAACTCTATACACCACTACAAATAATACCACGATAATAAATTCAGAAAAATAGATTAAAAAAAAAAAAAATAAGAAACAAAAAATCAAATAAAATTAATGTAAAAAAACAAACATATCAGCACACCTAATGCTCCCCCCTCCCATCCCACCCCCCCCGCTCGTCCATCCACACAACCACACCCCCTCCTACCATCACCCTGACACTCCATAACAACCATTGGGTCAGCCCCACCCCCCACCCCTCCACCACCAAAAACAAAAACCATCATTGCGGCACAAAAGCAGAGGTAATTTCCACCTCTAACTAACGTGTATAATGAATGGTTGAGTGAACTAAGTGAGTACCCCTGACCCCCTCAAATGCACTATAACAGCTAACGTCCTAGCTATAGACACGGGTAATCCCATGGTTCCTGTCCAAAAAGGTGGAACATACCAGTAGGATCCATTCTCCCTACCATCTCCTGAGCAGGCTCTGTTGTTGTGTAAATCAGCCAGACTCAACGCAGGCAAACAAGCTGGATATGCGAATGGCGTAGGATCGCGAGCTTTAAAGTAAAGTGGTTACAAAAAGGCCTAAAGCGAAATCATCCGTGGCACTAACCTATGAGTGGGGTCCTATAATGATCGCCCTTGATACAAGATATGAGCGGTTCCCCATTATCCCGCGGTCATAGATCAGTGGTCACTAACGAGCAAGGCATGCGTTGCGTAGCTGGTCTTGGTAACTTGGCCGTCAGATTTACTGACTAACAGTAAGGTCGGTAGTCCAAACAAATTAATTACGCTTTTGGTAACACACACTCCCCAATTCCCACAGGTCGCATAATTTTCATCCACAATGTTCCGTGGTTCACCCATTCCAGTAACTAGGGTCTGCTTACATTGTAGATATTGTGAACGCAGAACGCTGCACGTGGGAAAACACTGATGCCACCTAATCAACTTTTCAGTACGATACTACTCATTGAATCTGGAGCGACTAAACGAGTATCCATCTTAAACAGCCAAAGTTCAGATGAAGGAAGCATGTGCCAGTCAATTCAAGTCAAGGATGCGTTATATTTACATCAGTAACAGGTGCATTTTCAGCCTTGACACATGTTATTCAGTATAGCAGAAAAAGCAAATCAAAAACGACAGCATATCAGCAAAAGGAAAAGCTCAATAAAAACATAACTTCATTGGCAGAATGTACCGGCCAGTTTTGGATAATTCTGGTCAAATAGAAATCTAGCTAAACAAGCACTGACCGACGAACCATAAGCTTTCATGCGGGTATATATAGCTCTGTACTTTTGTCTGGTCGACGAGGCAGATATGCAGTTGAAAAAAGCAAGTGTGAAAAGGGTGGCTAACAACAGTGAGTATTTTTGACCAAGCTTAGTGTATGAGTTAACGTGTGTAGATACAATTGCTTTTGTGTGCCATAGTTGGCTTTGGATAAGCACTGCAGCGAGACAAGTGCATCAGCGACCTGGCAAGCAGCTTGAAATGCCCACACAGTGGGCATGGAAAAAGCATAGGAGAACAATAAATCCAGTATGGTTGATTGCACGCAATGATAGACTTCAGAATCAAATTGTGTGAGACGCAAGATGATCGCAATCCAGCGAAGTGCAACGAAATTCGCCCGACTATGGTAAATATTTGATTCACATGGAGTGACCACGACAGTCCGTGAAACAGTGTAACTTCGAGATACGCGACTGACGTGCAGAAGTTCAAAATGTCACCAAAGTGAAGTTTGGGCCATTCCGTGACAAGATCTTGGTAACGAGCAGTTTACGTGGTGAAAAAGAATGTCCTTTTCCTTGGACGCGTGCAAAGTCAGGCAGCAGTAGTTTGACTATCTTACTAATTCGTCTAAACAAATTTGCAGCTTGACCGAGGAGGCCAAAGTTTGATGATTCACGCCAATGATAACGCTATCTGCATAGTTTAACAGAATGGTTTCTTCTGCGACATGTATAGTAGAGAACAGTAATGGTGACAAAACAGGTCTTTTAGGGAAATTGGATGTTAAGTTGTGAAGACCTTTAACTGGCAAATCTGATGACCTGAGTTCGTTTAGCGAAATAAGCCATTTGGAAGCATACTAGAGAAGCTTGATTTCCAGGCGCCTGTAGATCATACAACAGTAATTAACGTTTAACACAGCCGAAAACGTTGTCGAAGTCGTGAAAGCAGGCACGTGTGGATTTGCGACGACAAGACTGAATGCACTAGACAAGCCACTGCATCTTGTATGAATCTTGAACTTGTATAAGCGTACTAAAATGGGTCATGCAAAGGGGAATGGCACAGCATTTTTCATGCATGATCTGCTCAGAAACCTTCAAAGACATCAAGGCGAATGTAATAGGCGGATTTTCATCCGTCCTTTTCTCCGTACTGGCTTTCTGTTGGAAATACTCTGACCATCCGCGATCTGCTTTGTTTTAAGCACCTTGTGGATAGCTCTGTCAGATGCCCGGCTAACTAATCGGCACACTGTTTGAGGACGAGGGGTGACAGCCTATCAGGCTCGCATGTTTTGCCTGAGTGCAGCTGGGTTAACAGTGGAGGCACCCCTTCCGCTCACAATAAGGTAATTTTTGTGATCGAATTAGACAGACTCAGGCGAATTTGTGGCGAATTTGTCCTGTTAGGACAACAGCGAAATTTGTGGAGCCAACTACGGCACATACGGCTCTCCGGAACCCATTGGAAAAAGTATGGTGACGTAAGTGACAACGGATGAACCGCTTTTCCTCCCACAATTCTTTTTCCAGCAGCTCATCAAACGCAATAGAAACATCTGCGCCACACTTACCTTTTTGCCCAGTGCACGTCGGTAGTACGCGGCAGCATTTTCTGGTTCGATTAATAAAGATTGAGTGCAGTCGTCCACTGCTTGTTGATGTTCACCTAACTCCAGCGCTACGATAGCCCGATTCCTGTAGGCTGCAGCCAGCTGATTGCTGTGGTTCGCGGCCATTGCGATGCACTTTGTGTACACATCATATGCTCCTCGTACGTCACCCTTTGATAAAATTGAATAAATTGCTGGTTAAAAGGTTTCAGCAAATGCTTACAGTTGTAAACCTGGGAAAACATAAGGAGTGTAATGAATCTCAAAAAAGACACTTAAATACCGTGTTTCATGTGTTAGCTGGTCATACCGTTTAAGTGGAACAGTGCTAAGTCGACACAAATAGCTACTTATCTGTAACTGAAACCAATCGACGCTGGGCTGCTCACTCGTGTTATTAAACACAATACCATGGCATCTATCAGGTGTCAGCAAATAAAACAGCTTGGTATTGGTCCTTTCCCAGTGAACCCCACAATTTTCTTTTTATACAAGTGAGCTAATTAATGTGATAGCTTAAGTAATTGGCATCTCATCAGCATTGTACCGGCACACCGAGTCTATACCTTGAACCACAGCCACATGGCATTGCTGTTCCAACAGAAAAAAGAGAAGGATGAGCATGCCTGTTCGAGTTTACACAAGATGAGAGATGATGTATCCGCACCCATAGTTTGCGAGTGCAACATCAGAGGCCCGGCTGAAGAAAAGATTCCTCTTACGCTTGTTCTTATCTGTTTGGTGCGAATCAGCTTCCATTGAGTCAAGAAGTTGCATTCAGTATCGTAGTGCTGCAGACTATTTAATTGCCAAATAAGGCAAGCTTCATTGTCATCGCAATCCCACTAATGAATGGTTCGTTCAAAACCCGTACACGTGTAATTTCGATGGATTTAAATCTGCCCCTGCCGAATGTCACACTGGTCACCTGTGAACTATGATGGGAGACCGAGCAAGACCTTTCAGGAAACGTGCTCTTAACTCTTTGCTTTAGATACATGTACACTTCAGTGGCATTAAGAAAATGCATGACATTTTTTCGTCTAGTGTCAAATTCTTCCACAAATTTTATATAGGGAAGCGGCATGTTGGACGGAAACCTCTATCTTGTTTGACAAACACCTGCTTTAGTCTGCCATTCCTGGTAGCAGTGAGTTCGTGAGCAGATTACTCTCCACCCTTCCTAAAGTTAAACGGGATATAAATGCTATTGGAGCATCCACTGTTTCAGTATCCCACTATTTCCTGATGTAGGACACACTGTACTTGTAAGAAGTGTTGATCCGGTAGCTGCACTCTTATAACAGATTTTCATACAAGCACGTCTACATAATTCGCCCTGCTCACCTGTTGCAGTAGTTGTTTTCCTTTGTTTCTTAACTCTGACAACTCGGGCAAGCTACCCTAGGGAAGAGAACGAAAAATGAGCTGTAGCAGTGGTGTTATTGGTTTGTAAATTTCGGAAGCCAGAAGGTACACATTAAAGTGACGGATCCACTTTGAGAGTATGAATGTTTTATGCATTCCACCTGACAGAAGGAACCGGTGTGGTCCCGAATTGCTGCAGGTAAAAGTTAGTGCACTCTTTGCGCATCAATCATTGAGAAACTTGAATTCGTATTGAAATAGTTGAGAATATCTGTAGCTTAGTGTGTAGATGAGAACTGTGCACCCTCAAAATAAGTTTTTGTGTTATGAAAAATGTATTTTGGATGTCGAATTATGACATATTTTCTGCCGCAGCTGTTTTTCGCCGCAATAGTCGTAGCCATCAGAGCCGAGTTCGGAAAAGTATTATGCCCAAGTATAAAAATATAACCTCTTAGTTCGGCCGTAAAAGTGCGGAAAACTGATGCTGCAAGCCAAGCTACCCAATTTAGCTGGAAAACTTGGTGTAAAATGGAATGGACCGTGTGCAGCTTTTATAATTTGGCTACTGGTTTAAACGCTCATTTGCCTAAGATAGTAGTCATGGAAAATAGAAGAGGCAAAATATTGTCGGCAATCTGGTGCTGAACGAAATAGACTGAAGGAGCGATTATGCCACATGAAAATGTTTCTGCGTCAGTGGGCAAAAACATTGAGCTCTTATCAAACTACTATGTAACTCATGTTTGGTGTGTAACCTGTGGTTTGATGTGTTGTGCTAGCGCACACCCTGCTTCTTTCCAATTCACTTGCGCAGGCCCGGTACCAAAGCAGCCCATTGATAAAGTACTGCAAATAGCAAATAGTCTGACGCAGAGGCAACTGCTATTTTAAACTTACTAGCTAATAATATCGGTTGACTTGCCGAATAACCTCCTCGTGGTACCAGTTGGGTGGTTCGGGTTTTTCCCGTTCCAGCGAATGGTTAGGCGACAGTGTTCCAGAAAGTCCTGGGTTTTCGCTTGGCAAGCGTACTCCCAATGGGAAGCCACATATGTCCGTTTAACAACACTTTGACGTGGAGGATGTGACTAGCTACTAAAGAAAGTCACTGCCCCTTGCCTCTCTTTGATCGGCGATGTAATTCAAGGGTGCGTTGTGCTCCTGGTCCCATGTGGTCCTAAATACCTATAAACCATTTGTTCGGTCACCGGCTCCCAACGGGTTGCAACAACCTCATATCGCCCTACTGTCTTGCAGGTTAGCTCTTGAATTAAAGGCTCGGGGTAGGGTCCCCTAAGACAACCCTCTACTTCGGCCCGGGCAACCGGGTAGTAGCACGCCCACTGACGAACCATGGATGGAATACACTACTGATTTCTCTCTTGCTGTGCCTACTGGCTCTGCTGCTCATCATCTGCTCACAGATCGTCCAACCTGCTGTTCCTCAACTGCACTTATGTTTCCCCGGTCCCCTTCAACAACATCTCAGTGGTCGCAGCTGCCAGAATTCCGGACAAAACGTTTGGTGTTCGTTGTCCGGTGGTCACAACATCCTCACACTTAACCGAAGCTCAAGCTTTCCTTCGTCCTGGTTCTCCATTCGACCTTGCAGCGTTCAGTGTACGCTTTCTGATGCAGATCGGACGACAAGCATTTCTGGCCCGCACCCTTGAGTCACTCTCTGTGGACATCTGTTGTCTTTACGTAACCAGGTTGCAAGACGCTAGTACCGACATCAGAATGACATCTCCAGCAAACGCTGACGTCAAATACCACTTGCGCCTTTCCGGAGCCGCAGAGGCCGCCGCTTCTGGTCAACCTGGTGTCGGGGTTGAACTGAGTGACAGGGCTGAGGTCGCTTTGCTTGACTGGATCCCAGTCAGCAGTCGGCTAAGCGCAGTCAGACTACGAGGTTCATGTAAGTTAAGGAAGCGCCGAGATGTTACGCATGCCCTGTTTGTCATCTCCGCCTACGCTCCTACAGACTGCAGCCCGGGCTGCTGTTACCAGCAGCTACCTGAACTTCTGAGTTCCGCTAAAGTGTCTGACATTGTCATTCTTGCCGGAGATTTTAATGCAAGTGTGGGCCGCCTTCCAGCAAACAAGCACCATCTTGTAGGTAGTTTCGGCCTCGGTAGCAGCCGATCAGACAATGGAGGCAGACTATTGACTCTTTGTTTTGATCCTCGTTTGTTTCTTTGGAGTACAGGTTTTCGTCAATCGAAAAGACAAAATACTATCTGGAGTCCGCCTTCTCAAACACAAAACTGGTCCCAGCTTGATCACATAGAAATAAGCTACAGGTGGCGAGGTAGCGTTATATATATATAATGCACCCGTCTACGAATAGACATAGAGCCATCAGAAAAAATTGGGACTAAAAAGTAGGTACGGAAATTGTAAAAGAATACACAACACAAGACATCGGAGTCCATGGTTTCGTCAGAGGGCGAAATACTACTCGGTTGCCCAAGGCGAAGTAGGGTGTTGACTTAGGGGAAACCACTCCGATCCTTCGGCCGAATAACCTGCTCGGAAGGCAGCGTAGCGAATTCAGAGAATCGCACCCATTGGGAGCCGGTGACTGCTTGCTAGGTTCACACACTTATCCTTTGTTTGTTTGTCAAACAGGGGCCCAATGCTCCCTAGAGCTACAGCATAAAGTTGTTGGAATAAAATGCTTCGCCAGGATGCATCATGAGGCAGTGGCTTTATTTAGTGGTGAATCACATCCGGCACGTCACAGTGATGAAAAACGGACGTATGTTGTATTTTATAAGGAGAACACTTGCCAGGCGAAAACCTACCACGTCCTGGAACACTGCCACCGATTCAGTTGCGGGAACAGGAAAATCCCGAACCACTCAGCTGGTACCTCGAGGAGATTGTTCGGCAAGCCAGCGTAATAGACTGTCTATCATACTGGTCAACTTGTCTAAACTCTGAGCACGCACTGGTACGCGCCAAAATTTGTATGCGTTTCGGAGGATCATCCAGACATACGCACCACCGACCGAACGTCGAAAATCTGTGAAATCCTGTGACGTTAGCCAAGTACCAGGCTTCTCTGTCAACCCTACTTGCTTCATCCTCTGACGATGGTCTCAAATCGCGAAGCATGTGTATCAAATAAGCTTTACTTTCTGCTAGTACTTTCAGTCGTGGAATTGCTTGTCACCCGCCAAAAAGCTGGATCATTACTGCTTTCTTGTTGCTGATGGACAGACACCGTTTGATCCCAGCTGACACCAGCTGTAGTGAGGAACGCCGATTCCTTGCTCGAGCGTTACGTGTTAGCTGGTGGTGTGAACAAGGTAGAGAGCTTGAACTTTCTGATCCCTCTGGTAATACCAGAAAATTGTTACACCTCATCCGAGTCACCGAAGGCTTCCGATCTGGAGTAATCGGAACAATCTGCGAATATGATGGCTCCCTAATCACTAATCTTCAACGATGGTTGGAGCAATAGGCCGAACATTTTTGTTCGCAGTTTTCCTGGCTACCAGATCTATCTGATTCTCCTGGGGCAGGTACTGTTGATCAGTGGGCTATCCCAACTGGTCCTCACTCTCACCAGGACATCTAGCGGGAACTTTGCTGCCTAAAGCGTTTTAAGGCACCCGGCCCTGATGGTCTACCTCCTGCTCTATTTAAAGATGGGGACTGTTCGTTGGTTCGAGAATTCACCGCTTTGTTCTCAGACGTCTGGCAAAAGAGGAGGTTCCATCATCCTGGAGTGAGTAGATAGTCGCCCCAATCTTCAAAAAGGGCCTGCGCATAAATTTTTTTCAGTTACAGGGAATAAGTTTTATTCCAGTCTTTTGTAAAATTCTGGTGTCCATCATTCTTCACAGACTATCCCCAAAGCTTGAATCACTACCGCGAGAAAAGCAGGCCGGATTCCGCCCTGGTCGCGGCTGCATCCATCAGATTTTTACGTTCCGCCAGATCCTCGAGTTCCGCCATGTATATCAAAAGTCAGCTATTTTTGTATCTCTGGATATCCGTCCTGCCTTCGGTTTCGTCGACAGAGCTGCATTGTGACACTGTCTGTTGTGGAATGGTATTCCCGGGAAGTTCGTTTCCATTCTTCGTGGTCTGTATAGTCTGACCTCGGGTAGAGTTAGAACTTATGGCACGCTTTCGCCTTCCTTTGTTGTCACCAATGGGGTTCGACAAAGATGCCATATCTCTCCATTCTTATTTAACTTTGCCATTGAGGATGTCCTCAAAATGCTCCGGAGGACTTGTCGAACGCTGGCGGTGAGCTCCTTCCAAGTAGTCGGGTGGTTGATTTAGATTACGCTAATGATATCGTCTTACTGGGTGACGGTCCGCAGGCCGTTCACCTTGCACTTAATAGCCTGGCGATTAAATCGTCAAAGTATGGCATGCATTTTTCACCATTTAAGTGCAAAGCGCATTTTCAAGGCTGGTATATACCCCTACCTGCACTCACCATCGATGGAGAAACGTTAGAAGTGGTATAGAGTTTTGTCTACCTGGGAAGCTGCATACCTGCTAGTGGGGCTGTCGGAAACGAGATTTCGATGCGCATCTCAAGAGCTCGTCTCGTCTTCTCCAGGCTGAGACATTTATGGCGCCGCCACGACATTCGTCTCTCCATCAAAGGACTGGATTATAGTGCCACTGTCCGTACTGTAGTGTTGTAATGTTGCGAGACTTGGCCTGCTCGTACCGATGACCTGCGTCGACTGTCTGTCTTCGAGAACCGTTGTTTGCAGTCCATCGCCCGTGTGTGGTGGATGAACAACGTAACCAACGCTGAAGTCAGACGGCGTGTCTTGGGTGGAGGCAGCCACTCCCTCGAGGCGCTTGTCTCGCTGCGTCAATTAGGATAGCTCGGACAAGTACTGTGTAAGCCCGTTCAGCGTCTTTTGCGTCGTGCCTTGTTCGTGGTCGCTGGACAGGGTTGGAGGAGGTGGTGTGGTGGACAGCCTACAACTTGGGGAAGAAAATTGAAAAAGCTGACAAAACAGCTGGCCAGGTTTGGTTCCTCCCGACTCCTTGGATGGTACGCTGAGTGCATTCGGTTGAAAACCTTAGAAATCACGGCACGAAACTGAACTCAGTGACTGATATGTATCTCTGCTTGTTGCGGTAATACACCTTCCTTCCCCCAACAAAAGCATCAAAAATACGCAAAAACTATGAGTGGAAAAGTAGACAAGAAGTTTGTCTTCTAATAACATCGGCGACATGACTTGAACACAACTCGAAAAGTAATTCCAGACTATGATGCGTTTTGAAGACAGATTTTCATCAATTTAGTGTTTACGCGAGGAACAACTTGAGTTCCTTCGCCCTTAATATTGTCTACTGATAAGTGAAAGCCTCAAAATGAATTTCCTCACGTTTTGAAAAGTGCCGCTCGTCTAGCGTTGTAGCCCAGCAATGGGGAATTTAGACGGGGGTCACTAGGCCTTCGGATACATTTCCAACCTCAAATAACTAAAAATGAATTGTCAATACAATCTAGGAACTTGTCACTGAATGTACTGTTTAGTGCAAGCAACTCCATGAATCTCATTACTTCGGATATCTTTACAGTCGTCAAATCTTGAGGCTTGTTTTATCGCAGATAACGATTGCACTTAGAAGTGTATGTATCATAAAGTGGTACTGTAAAATGTCCAGAGCCGAAAAGCATCGTTAAACAGCTTTCATACCCTATGGGAAAGATGTAACTATTCAACTTGGTTTTATAGTCCTGTTTCCCCCTCAACCTACCAAAGATAAGCAATCTGCGTAAAATCGAACATTTATATCGTGAGTTGCAATTTCATACTTACTTCAGTCATGCTATCGATCAGTGAAGTCGCCTCTGCAATTTGCTGTTCCGAACAATGGTTAGCCTGCTTTTCTTCATTCGGTCCAGTTTGCACCGGAAAAGTGGTTGAGCTATTATTTATTACTTCTGAAGCTTTTACGTTGACGTCCTCTGCACTAATCTTAACAGGTGAAATTGACTTCTGCTCCTCCGGATCGCTCAGTTCCTCTATGACCACTCCCTCACGTCCGTAAGGACCCGGTCGAGTTGGGGGATAAACTGTGCGTCGACGCACTTTAGACAGCTTCGGAATGGCGGCTGCTTCAGGGCTTTCCGTGTTAGCATCTGGTTTTGACCAATCCTCATCACCATTCGAAACGCTGGGGTCACCGTGCTGGTCAACTGTTCGGGTGGTCGGTGCGCCTCGTGACTCAACGTTTCCATCGCCTCTACCAATCTGAATAATCTCGGACTTCTCGGCTGAACTCTTCTCCTCGCTGCGCTCTACTGCTCCATCTTCATTGTCTTCAGAAGAGTCGGATGAATCCCCCACCTCAGTGATGACCATGCGACGTCCGCCAGCAAGGCGGCTTGTGCCCCGTTTTGCTTTAGCGATGCGGACATTGCGCAACAGGTTCTAAAAATGAAAGCGGCGTGGGTATTTATTGAGCAATGGTAGTTCCGTTGCAAACTGTGATGACCCTGGCTATACCGTTAGGTCTAAGGTGCACAGTTTTACGGAGTGCACGCAGTGAAGCTCGTGTACTTGTTACATGAGCAAGCAACAAACCAATAAAAAATTGTTATAGCGACTTATTGAAGGGGTATTTTTAAGCATGCTACACCAATGGGTTGAGACGCGTAATACCAATTCCCTTCGAGTTGGATTTCAGTCACTGGGACTGCAACTGAAGGAGGGAAATGTTAAACGTTATCCGTTCTCGACACGTGTTAGTGAAAGCTTGCGGAGGATAAAGTGGGACTATTGCCAGAGGGATCAGTTATTTTCCCTGAACAATGCATGACTAAAAGGCTGATGGGACTACTGTAGAGGGGAATTAATCTAAAGTTGCCCTCTCAAGGAAGCTCGCGACAGAAAACAGCCGAATGCGTCCGATCAAATGGGCATCTAAAAACACGTTCGGACGAAGGTTATTTCCGTTGATATTGTATGGAACATATTAGGCGGAATGTTTAAACGTCGTTTCAGGACTACTCAGAAGTTTCCATTCTTTTATGTGGTAAATTCAATAAACTGTCATATTTTCCACTGAGGAAAAGCGATCAAGATCAGTGACCACAGTGCATCAAGTTACTAGATCACCCTGGTCAGGTACACAAGGAAAAGATGCCTCTCTTTTTTATTGTCGGACAAGTATACATATGGTTAGGTAAAGGTTTATCCATGACAATTTGACCTTACCCCTGTTGAAATATATGGAGTTAGTGTGATCTGGCTTAGTCGCACTTCCGCTAGCCCAACAGAACTTCTGTTTTGGCTGGCTAAAGCCTAAAGAACTTCAACCTGCCAACGAAAATTCAATTCAACACCAGGTTCCAAATGAAATATCAATGAGGTTACTGAGAACATCATTGGGCTAATGTTTTACTTTCGGAACATGAGATTTTCACAATGATCGTAGGACTTCAACCTTTGGATCACAGATAGAATGCATAGAGTTAAAGTGCAGCTAGTATTAATTCATGTAACAACTAAATGTTCATAGCACATTGAAGGTTTTGAAGTGCAGTTCCACTTAGCCACCGGTGCAAGCGTAGCGTTACTCATACGAATTTGATGCACAGTGTTGTAGCACTCAGTCCTTCGGGGACAAACGGTTCGTTCAACAAGACAACCTCAGCGAAAACTACAGCATAACTAGCCTATAGCTAGACCGCTTCCCTAACTAACGACGCTGCTGCATCCATGCGATTCGTCACTTGCTTGGGGCAAATAAATGCTCCAGCGCAGACAAAAGCTGGCCAATCAAAGTAAACGCGGAGACGCGGAGACGTTCTATAATGTGCTCGTTTGCGGCAGTCTAGCTGCTTTCCCCTTTACGTAAATCCGCCCTACCCTTCTGTTTGCGTACTCCCATCACACATAGGACAAATGTGTTCCATGCTGGAAGCGAACACGAAAAAATAGTACACGAAAAATGAGTACACAGCAAAAGAGCGTACACTGAAAATTGCGCACAAGGAGAAATGCGTACACGAAAAATTTCACCCTCAAAGAATGGTGTACACGCTATATGGTGAACGGGGAAATACATCAGTTCGATCGCTTTGCGTATAAACGACGGCGCAAAATGCCAACTCCCTCATGACTCATTCAAAATACTCAACAGACAGAACATTGTTCGCCTACTGCAGTTTGCCGAAGCCTCAGCGATTCGGTGGCTCTAACGTCCTTGGTATGACTAGACCGAGTTGATGAACATTTTATGGCGACAGGCCCAAATATCAATACAGATGAACTTAATAATGAAGGGACACACTTTTGTTTTACGCATACAGGTGATCCAATGTAGTGATACCGGTGAAACGTGCTGGTTGGAGAAGCAGGAATGGCACCGCGTATCGCAGATGTGCGAACGATCTGACTACGGTCGTGTTCTTCGGTTTACTTAAATGTCTACATCTGACAGTCCACATTTCTCATCGGTCCTCTAAGCGCGCAGTGGAAGAAGTAAGTTCGATTACAATTGTACACATGTTACTGAAACAAACCGGGTACATCTGCAGACTGCTACAAATTTTCCTTCCAAGCGATTTTCCAGATGGGAAATTTACTATGTGGGCATCCTCCCATGTGCAATATCACTGTGAGAAAATGGCTATCCGTCATTTAACGGGATCACCAACCTCATCAAGCCAAGGCTAGGCTACCCACGAACTCTGTTTGGTCGCACCAAGTGCGTTAGAGCCATCAAGTCATTCAGACTTCGGCAAACTGCAGTAGGCGAGCAGTATTCTGTCTGTCGAGTATTTTGAATGAGTCATGAGGGAGTCGACACTTTGCGCCGTCGTTTATACGCAAAGCCATTGAACTGATATATGTCAGCGTTCACCATATACCGTGTACACCATTCTTCGAGGGTGAAATATTTCGCGTATGCATTTCTCCTTTGCGCAATTTCAGCTTACGCTCTTTTACAGTGTACGCATTTCTCCTTGTGCGCTTTTTCCGTGCACATTTTTCGTGTACGCTTTTTACATGTCCGCTCTTTTCCGGTCACCAGGACAAATGTTACCTGCATCTGCAAACGGTGTCTGGTGGCAAATATCCTAATGTTGTATTAGATCATTCGTTGAACTTGAACCATAAACGCCATATATATCCACGGTCATATATCCACGGACATTGACAGCCACTTGTTGTATCGGGCAACGTTGCACTTGTTAGACGAAAAATCATGCTGAACAAATACTTATTGGCAGCGCAAAATGAAACAATGGAGCATAAGCTTTACTGGAAGAATGTGCGTACATTTTCTGAAAGAAAACCAATCGGTCAACCACCGCAGCGATTGGGAAAATTATTGAAAATATACCAATCAGGGGGCTGACCTTGTGCGTACATCCGACTCTCAGTTGCCTTGTTTTGTGTTTCCCGCTTACTTTTCAGTACTAAATAAATACCATCATCACTAGGATTATGGTCTTAAATGTTAGTAATAATGATATTAATTACTTTTTGGGTTAATTGCAGCTAGAATATTTTTATTGGTGTTACTTGAGTTATGTCGGTTAGTTTCGATGGACTTAAGCGGTCTAATATTAATTAACGTGGCCAAGCCTAACAAATGTATTTCCCTATAATGTAGGCATTAGGACACATAAACAACATGTTCTCACTGTCGAGCGACGCCACTGATATAGGTTAGCAAAGTCGCATTGGCAACCACCAGTTCTCTTGTTCTGATACGCTTTATACACCTATGTGAAGCTTAGTCTTCAAAATGACTAGGAAGACTTTTCCGCAAGAATCGCTGAATATGTGCAAAATGCTTGGTGAGAAGTGGACTACATATAGTGTGTTTCTCCTAAGCGGTACCGGTTACACCGATGCAGTTTTTACCACATATGGGAAGGTGGAAGACTAGCGGACAGGCAAACAACCCGCAGTCCCAAAGACAATGGTATGCGTTTGGTCGCTCATTAAAAGCGGACAAAGTTATTGTGATCGTCTACAGACTGTGCTAATCAACAAGGAAGTGGTACTGCCGTGTCAGGTGAAAAGACTGTTGTGTAAATGCAACTTAGACTGACCTCATTATTAAGTTACCCCTTCGCACCTCACAGTACCTGCGGTGGTAAGAATATTGGCCGCAGACACATTTTGGAACACGGTCCGCAGAGCTCGGCAGCGATGATCCTAGGTTGTTCGCTAGTTCAGTACTTCACAGACTACTCAACTACATGATGTGCCAAATTTCATAGAAGGCATCTGAAGCTATTAACGATCAAAATACTCCAAGCATGTTTGGGCTTGGGGAGACTTCTGTTTTCTAGCTACTGGAGCACAACGTGCAAAGACAACTTGAGCTGAAAGCCAGTTTCATATCGCCAGAGTAGGGTGCAGATTATATACTCACTTTCCCATTGCTTGTTTGCTTCCCCATTATACGTTCCATATATTCCCTTTTGTCGCTAGTTGTTTAAGAGCTTGATCGAGAGTACACGCCGTTAACGGAAATTGGGTTATTCCATCAAGATGTGGCCTGTAGTTGCTGTTTTGAGGGTTAGTAGCTGGAAATGGCTGTTCTGGTTCGAGGTAAATTGAGAACCAAAGAGAGACATTAGAACGGAAAACTTCCGAAACTGACGTCTGAAAGGACAATTCAGTAGGAAACTTTAGGCTTATTTGTTGGTCAGTTATTATTTAGGAATAAGAAGCCCGCGTCGATAACGTCCTTGACTTCTCCGCGGAATCCCACCATTTAGGTCACAAACCACAGATACAGAAAGAAGAAAGAAGAAGAAGAAATAGCAAGCTGTAGGCCTTAACGGCGCTTCGCTGCCAAGCGACCACCACCAATCGGGCGCGGTTTGAGTATACCGCGATGACAATAACCCTTACGCGGTTTCGAACCGATGACCTTATGGTTGCAAGCCAGGCTGCGCAGACCACTCGCCCAGAGGCCGACAAAGGTAAGTGAATATGTGGAATCGGAGAAGAAAGGCTTTACAAAGCAGTAAAGTCTCGTTCTTCCATCACTTTCGTTAGTCAGTATTCTCTTGTTATTAGCTGGTCATACTCGGGTTTAATACAATCACGCTCAACAGCAATATGTGGCAAGCACCGAGGTGAGAGTTTGGAAGCAATGCAAGGTACCTAGCGTAACCAAGGTGAACAGTCGGTATTTTCAGTCTATCCAGTGTGACCGAAGAAGTCTGTTTCTGTGAAGCATTTCACTCGATTCGCTGTTGGAAAGATCCGTAGGCACTACCGGTCGCTCTCCGATGCAGGTACAGGGAATGAGAGCAAGCCTTGCATTAGGTTTTTGCGATTAGTGAACACATGTCGATATTTATTATGATAGATTTTGTAAGCGATACTCTGCATATGAAAGTCCAACAAAACTTAGGCCACCGAAATGGTCGGAACATGAAATTCAGGAGACGTAGATTGTGAGATGACGTCGCTGCTTCGCGCATTCTTACCGATGGCAAGGCATGCAACGATGCTAGGCAAACCATTAACCAAAATGTCAAATGGATCGCAAATAGCAAGCGATCGCGCTACCGTGGTAGCGTTAACATATAACTAGATGTTTTAATCCACAGCAGTGGTCGTTTGCCATCAACAACCATAGTCTCCAGCAGCCTAAACATGTGGGGCCGCCGATCGCGCAATAGAACTATGTGCGACTCATCAGGATTGACTCACTGCCTGGTGAAAAGCAAGTGCTTCGTAACTGTCGGTTTAACTGATTCCACCGTAACAGACCGAAATGGTCAATAACGCAACGCCGAAACTAATGTACGACGCAATTCCACAAAATTACAGGATAGCGATTGAAACAGCAAGTTTGACGAGTTCCTTGCGCAAATGCACAAGCGAACTATACCTTTCCTGAGTCAGTTGCGTCTACAGCGCTTTTAAATTCCTGCTTAACTGAAGCGTGTTCCACCACAGATCTCTCAAGTCGGTCCCTACCATCTCGTCTGATATACCGTTGGCTGGTTGGGAGTGGTAGGTTAACGAACAAGGCGCATTTACGGTCATTCGGTCTGTTGGATGCCATCTGATAGGGATAAGGAGCATATCGAGAGATGTATGAAGGAACATAATTTCCTTGAGGAGGAATTTGAAAGCGCAATAGAAGCAGTTGACTGGGAATTGGTGTAGTGTACCATCTCACGGGTTGACTGAGAATCTTAAACGAGCTGGATTGCTACAGTGACCGGCCAGATGGGCCGACAAGAGCAGTGTAATAGCGGTCTCTGGACGCGATACTCGTGTTTACCATGCCATGATTCAACGGGTAAAGTGATTCAGAATGATGAGCGAAGCTTGGCCAGGAAGCGGCAATTGATTAAGTTGGGGAGGGTGTTGCGTCAGGACTTACCATGCACAACCAAAGTGAACAGACGCGACGTGCATTGGTGGGATACAAAAAGTGAGCTTGATACAGAACGCGGAAGGATCCTTTGGGTCAGAAGGTTAGCAAACGGTCACTGTGCTGAGGGGCGTGAAGGTGACTGGCGCTGACACATCGGACGACAGGAAACAGAGGGAAATGCTGGGCTAACTTATGTCGACCCGGGGCCGCGATTATGCAAGGAGGCTTGACACAGGAGCCGAATGTGGCCAGGTGCGAAGTGACGGTTACACAGTTAACCTTTGGTGAAGCGTACTTCTTTATTGATGAGAAGTGAACGGAAACCATATTTTCGGATGCCTTCAAAGTGGTCTCAAACCACCGTACCCAGTGTTTTCAGCCCTTTATGAACTCACAGATCTTTGCTATTTACTAAGGTTACCAAAAGATTCCAAACAAATCGGAGACAGTGATTATCTTGCTAATTTTTTCAAGGTCGGAGACGCCGCACTTTAAAGATAACTTATTGAAAACGCTTAACTTAAGCAACGCAACCAATTACACCACAGTCATTGTGAGAATTTTACTAGTATGTAGTTCCACATTACCTGGGCTTTGGAATTGGTCGGCTCCAAAGCAATCAGCCTCTCCAAATAACTCTCCGCTTGATCCAGGTCATGCAGCTCGTACTTCGCTCGCCCAATTCGGAACAAAGCTATTAAAGTAAAAAGTGGACGACGAATAATGTACGCAAAACCGTCTTCTCTGTGATTCAAACATGCGTAGTGAGTACAATTATGAAATTTTGCATGTGCTTGCTTCAGTCAACAAACGTGAAATGTAATTATATTTTATACAATCGCTTACGTAGCGAATGGAGTGATCGTCAACATCGACGTCGAACTGTTGCTTGACGCGCCTCCCAAATTCGATTTGTTTTTTGTGCGTTTGTGGGGTAGGATATTTACTTTTCTTTCGATGCTGCAACACCAAAACCTAGAAGTATGTTGACTGCCATAATTGCCAGATTCTGTATAATATTTTAACATCCGGAATGAGACCAAGGTAGCCTGGTAGGATGGGGCTGTCAGTAGTGAGTGATTGACACTACTCGACTTTCGCGTTGCTTTCAACTTTGAACCTGACACCTCGACAGTTACCAGCTTGCTGTCTTGATTATTTGGCCAAATTGGTTTCCAGAGGAATATATTTGCGTCTGTTCCAAAAACGCTACCAATCAGTCAACGCTGGCCCATCATTCCCTGCTATTCAGAGAGAATTACGGATTTTGAAGTGAAACTCATTCCTTAAGTTAGATGTTATTGACAGATAACGTACTTGCACCTGCTCACCGGTTGTCAAGCAACCGGTAGCAACACTCCGTATTTATTTGAAATGCTTTTGTTTTCTTATTTACTAATACATAGTACACGTTATCAGTTTCAATAGTCACGACAGCAGCTTGTTACGGTTCTTCATCATGATAGAGGAGTGTACTGCCGGCCAACAAGATAATTCGTCATGCACAGAATTTGGCCTACATAATCTACCAGCAATAACTAAATAATGAAAATTACCAAGGAAGACGAGCAACGAATTTGTAGACAGCTTTGCTTCCACCAGATTCACTTAGACGGCCCCATGGCTAATATAGCTGCTGTATAATATTCTTCGGGATTTGGCCAACGGAAATTTAGGGAGACAGAAAGCTGCAAAATATCCTAACCCCCTCATTTCCTAACAATAATAACCGCATGACGTCACCAGCATACCGCGATTTGTTCAGCAAGGAGGATTGTGGCTATAAAGGTTAACCCTGTTCTATGTAACTAAATGGTGTTCAATGGAAGTGCAGAATAAGCCTCGCTTTCGAGGCTAATTATCAGTCACGGTGGTCTATTGCAGTCACCTTGGGCTCAGTAACATAAGTCGCTGTCTCGTACGGGGGCAGTCATGTGTACGAATGTCGTACCGTCCCAGGGTGAATTTCGCTAATGGCGGGACAAAGCCGCATGAAATGTCATACAGAAGGATTTGGACGTGCAGTGGCAGCCTGACTTAAGCTGCCTATGACGAATCTTTCCATAATAGTTCCCAACAAATCTATCATGTCCAAATAAATAATAAACTTGGTCATAAGATAATGAACTAATGGATAAGACTTCATGTGAGAGGGGGTTTCAAAATCCAGTTAACTCAGCTAGAATGTAGTTCATTTTTGGCATTTAGTAATTTTTGAATGGCAACTCGCAAACTTAATAATCAGATTTTACTCTCAACTTGTCAGGGAACCAAACATTACTACACTAAAGTAAACTATTCCTCTACTGATACGAATCATATATTCTAATAATGGATTGACAAAACAAGGTGCAGAAGTGAACTATTGGACCTTAACTAGTTTGCGTAATGTTTCAAAACTTGGTACAAAATTTGCTAAAAATTTGCAATGAACACATATACTTACCTTTTAAATTCTCGGGTTCCTCCTTTAAAACACGCGAACAGTCCTTGATGGCAGCACTCCATCGCTTTTGGTGGAGGTCTGGAAGCGTGGAAGAGAGCATTGTTGCCCAGAACCGCAAGCAGCAACTGTCGATGATAAGTTCACTAGCTTTCGCTGCTTTAATTTTTAGGTCGCATACAAAATGATATCTTTACGCTTAATTGCATGTATGCTGTAGCCATAAATCGTAGACGGCATGCTCATGTGTACAAAAAGTATCCCTTTGGAAGGTTACAATAAAATTTTGGCCAGGAGCACTCCTTCATAAATTCCTCTTGGATAAGCGGAATGGTACCTGTTGGTTCCACTTATCATGCAGTCCACCAGGCAGTCCTGGTACATCAGGTAGAACGACTTTGGTTTAGTGGGATTCAGTATCTCGAATTAACATATGAACCGACTGCCATTCCAAAAGTTCGGAAGGCATTAAATAATTTATTTTTGTATACTTTTCGGACCGTAGCCACAAGATGCATCTACACAAAACCGATTCGTATTCCTAATCTTCAAAACATATGGCTAGTTAGAGATTTGGTTGAAAGTTTGCTTGATTGGGAGCTGGTAACCAAAATGCGACTACGGCGGAGGCTTAATGAATAATACACAATCAATCATCATGCGAGCAACCTAAAGGTTATAGAGACATTCGCTGAAAACGTTAACTTCCTAGCTTAAATGTTTAGATGTAGACTAAATGTTATCCACAAAACTTTCCCTATGTGAACGGTGGGTCAGAACAGCCACCTATTTAAGCTTTTAAAGGTAATTTCGCCACATCGGTCCAGCGATCGATAGGTTCAGATTAAGTGAAGCAGCATTCTTTGTGTCGAGTCAAATTTCCACTCCGGTGATGGATATCCTTGTAAACTGGATGGGAGCCTGGGTTGGCTTTGCAGGTATGCACTTGCCTAACCGCTCTAGCATATTGGGTGGCAACTCTGGGGGAACATATAAACGCCTGAATATAGTAGAAGACATAATGTAGTCTCGGAGTTCTTACTCCCAACACTGAAATTCAAACCTGTTTTGTTATTGGTTTTTCTCTTCACGCCGAAGTTGCCATATCATGACGTGTAACTTTGGACGTAGTAACTTGTACAGGTTCAGGTTAGCCCCAAGGGAAACAGTAGTGCAAAATGTGTGGTTGCGTGCTGTCCTTCAAACACATAGTGATCTCTCCGGAAGCCCAACGACGACCAAGGCAGAACCTAATAGGATGTGAGTTTATTTACTTCAACTACACATTACTCCATAGGGAAGATTGTGGCCTGGGTCTTCAACATGTCACAAGTGTCATGGGCACCACACTTTGGTCCTCAAAAGCACACAGACATCTTATCAATCGTCGGTATGACTGGTTGGACACAATAAGTTACCTCTACCACACGTATGAACAATCGCCTGGGTTTAGTATTTAATCTCTAGCTCTCGCTCGTTATTGTATCTGTCCTGGGTGAATTTCTGGACAGGGATAATAAGATTGTTAAACGCTGTATAATCTCTATTTGGAATGATTGAACTTCCATAAAACTATATCGTCCTCTACGAGCTGTTGACTGGTCTCATTTTTCCAAACTGCTTCGGGCCCTCAGCCTGGATAACTTTTTCCCGGCGAGAAATATCAAAGAATTTGAGTCAGAGCTTCTGACGCATTTTTTAACATGAATATACTCGCGCCCTTCAAACGGATGCCAACCCGAGTACACACCACAGAGTACCACCAGCAGTACCAGCAGTACCACCAGCAAATTAACACCAAGAATATGTCGCAAGCTTAGGGCTAGGTATAACACTACCAGTGATTTCTCCATTCTTCTGAGTATTAAAAGTCTTTCCAATGAAATCGCTACAGAACACTATTTGCGACATATAGCCGAAGAGCGGCTGGTAATTTCCAATTGCCGCAAGATATCTGCACTCACGCAATTGCTACGTTCAAGAAACCATAGGCATACCGACTGAAACCTCGTCATTTACGCACAATTACGTAAATATCACCGATCCGCTCTGTATAAGTGAAACGTTCAGTGAATATTTTGCTCCTACATTCATTAACAAGCCTGAGCTAGCTGATGTAAGTCAGTTGAGTGGCAAGGAAGGTATACTCTCGGAGGTAATTAGAACAATCCCAAAGTCGAATCCGCCCTGAAAACACTTCGAACTTTCACCTTTGCTGGGCCAGGCTGCGTTCCCCCAATTGTACGCACGCATGGTGGTGAAGGCACCCCCTTTTACATTTTAACATGTTCAGACTTTCTCGAAAACGTAGCCAATTTTCGCCCCAGTGGAAATATTCTCTCATGACTCCACGACACAAAGGCGGTGCAAGAGACGAAATGGGCAACTATCGTCCCATTACTCACACTTTCGTCGTATCTAGAGTATTTGAAAAATATCAAAAAGTCGCCAGTTGAATATCTTCTTCTAGATGCAGAAACTTTATCGTATCGATCTTATACTTACCGCTTCAGCGGTAGCTACTAACTTTGCTGTTAGCTGAGGGTTCAGGAGATGGTACCTTGTAAAGAATTTCGAAGGCAGCACCTTTTGTCAATATGGTGCCCTGTATTGATCAGGTTGTTAGTTATGACAGTCAAATTAGTTCTGTCCTCCCGGTTAATGAGCGGATTCGATGGCTGTTACTTGATTTGCTTTTCTAAGTGCTTGATCGTGCGCCCAGAGGAACATGTGCACCGGTAAATCACCACTGACTGGAGTTGCTCAGGCACTTTATCTTTGAATCAAGGGACAACTAGCGATGCGATTGTATAGATCATGTTGAGGTGGACTGCTTTGAAGTTCTTGTTAAAGGAAAAATATCTTCCGACACACGGACGTCTAAGTGAGCGACATCAAGAAGTTATGCGTAGACGGTTATGTAATACCGGCTGGTTGGATTTTCTGGAATACGTCATCTCGGCTGTCGATGCCATAACGTCGGTACTGATGATCGTCCTCTATATGTAGAAAGCCATCGTGTTTGTACCGCATAGGCGAATTATATTAAACCCTAACTCATTCTCTGTCCGCGACTCATTTCTGGCTGACTTTATCTCCATTTTAGAGGAGCGCGCAAGGACTGTCTTATTAGATAATTTACAGTCACAACTACGTGCAATAAGGAGTTGAGTTCTGCAAGGCATCGTTCTTGGTCCCACTCTGTTTCTCATTTATATCAACGATGTTTTCGATACAATTAAATACGATCATTTCTTTTTCCGGACGACATGAAGATCCTCTGTACATTGTTGCTGAATACAGATATTGATCAAGGCCATTCAACCATATCTGAATTCCCTTGAGCTCTGGTCAAATAAATGATTAAATAAATTCTCCATGCACAAGTCCTGCCTCCTCAGTCACAAATGTCGCATCCCATTAGGCAGCTTACTTCTTAATAGGGAACCAACCCACACCACCCAGTTCATCCGTGACCTAGGAGCAAGATATGATGACTTATTAAACTTCTCAACGCATGCTCGACAAGTTATCAAAGGCAAGACGTGTTTTAGGTGTAATCAACCATGCAATAACCTTACCCAAAGCCAAGCTTTCACTTTATTTGATTTGCGTACGCCCATTTTTGGAGTACTGTCTGATTATATAGTCATTGCACAAGAATGATCTATTATCACTGGAGTATTTACAGAGGAAATTCACTAAAGCTCGTCTGAGTGAATCGTCGTAGGCAAGGAAGACTAAAGATGCACCTAGTTTTGTTTTACACACGGATTCACCATCTCAGTTTCAGCTCAAGCACCTAGTTGAAGTTTTAGGAGGATGCAGACTATCACTTAAAGAGCAACAAATTTATTCCTCCTCAACAAAAGTTCAAGTAGCAAATTCCTGAAAGCTCTTTCGTAGTTCGATAGTCCGTTGAATGTGACCGACTGCCGGGATTGGTGAGAGTAAGGCAATCTATCGGTCACTTCTTTACTTAGCTAAATCAGTTTCTTCCCTTACCGAATGCGGCTAAACTGTCTGAACGACAGATAACGATCGAGGAGTTATGTTTGCAAAGAACAGCAAATATTTTTAAAAAGATCACGCAACCTATTTGTCACCCAGCCATACCTATCTGTGCATTTATCATGTATGTTATACCGTTGATCACGGTAACACTCATGTGGCGATAATTTTAGATGGATATGCGTCAGCATCAACGTGAGCGATATCCGTGTAACCCCACCTCCAAACTGACCAAGGCGGAAAAATTTATACTTGCTTTACACTACTTGTTGCTTTCTCTTCTTGGCTGGAGGCAGTAACTTGGGTCTCTGCAACAGTTCTCAGAGCTTTTCAAAGTGACCTTGCGCCATCAATCTTACTTTTTCGATCGCCTGCAGCTGTAGGAGCTATCCAACAATTCTTTTGAGCCAAATTTTGAAATGAGTACTTAAGGAGGTCAATTATCTTTATGTTATCTTTATATAATTTGTAACGGACACCCGTCAGACAGGAGCCAGTCTTCTACCGTTACTGTTCTTTCATTATATTTCTATGCTTTTTTCACTTTTACCATTGTTAGCCACGACTGGGCCCATCCCCTGAGATGACGGATTGAAGCTTCCAAGCTGTCCATTTTAACTACGCAAAACGAATTGCTACATCCTCACTGGCGAATATAAGAGTGCATGATACGAAACAGCTGAATTGTGGGATGGGTTGTGTGGCGGAAGTTCCTAGCATGTAACAGGGACTCAAAAGTGAGTCAACGTGATGACGACCCTACCTGCATATAACAATAGCCAAAAAACAAGTCAAAATGAGCACGATTTACTGGTTCTCATCCACGTCAGCATATGACCAGATGAGGCGTGGAAGTGTAGACGAAACATCTCGAGTGATTACTCCGCTTGGAAGCAGGTACCTAGGAGACGATTTCATGGATGGCCGTATTACTTTATGTGAATTGTCGACTATACCTACACTTATTCTTACTTTCAAACTCCAGTATTTAATATTTTTGAATATCAGAACCCTACTAACACTCCATTGGAACCATTAAAATACTGGAACAATTTTCTTCACTATTCCATTGTACTGTACGAAATGATCAGGCCACGTAATCGGTCTGTGCCTCGCAAGATTGAAATATATACTATGTATTATTGTTTATTTATTTATTTACTATGGAGCAATAAGTCCGAATTGGCTCAATCACTGGTAGAGCATCGTTGAAGAAAGGTTCGCATATGCACGGAAATCACCAACGATTGACAGACAGCTGAGATGCCGTGGGAGGCGCTAGCTTACGAAACAAAGCTGATTAATTGCCACTGATAAACGTCAGCAAAACTTTGCTTTTGGCAAGGTTTTTGTTGATATATATATATATATATATATATATATATATATATATATATCGATTCTGTGGTATCCTGTGGTGGACTTTAATTGACACAGTAGCGTCAAAATATATAAAAACCTTTAAAAGCAGAAAAAGCGACAAAGTCCAGCTGCCAACGCCCGTCCAATTGCACATTGCTCCTGTCTATATAGCATTGAGGGTGCGTCGCAGTCAGTTCCAAATCAGATAACCAACAGGCTGAAACTGCAGTCTAGTGTTTTTCCGGGCATGTGAACGACGATCTGATTTGGAACTGGCTGCGACTAACCCTCTATGCTTTATATCAAATTTCCCTACTCATGACTACATCCTGTCTATATGCTTTATCTATCCGAAAAATGCACACTGCCCACTGTTTTTCGGTCAGCCCTTATCTGACGTGTATTTTGCTAGCCTATGTCCCTGTCAATTAAGAAGCACCTGATAAGTTTGAGCTGTTAATATATTAGATTAGCGCTTTTTATGGCGCTGAGGGTAATGAAGCTTCATTTAGTATCACTGTTGAAAAGTATGTATATTGCAGCTGGTTATTCATACACATGAAAGCATGAAGCACATTCCTGACTTAGCTTAACTTCAGTTAGTTTAGGTTGATCACTGGTATGGCTAGCACTGGTGGACCCCGTGGTATTTGCGTTTTCATGATGAGTTTATCAGTTTGACACAGAGGATTTGGTCTCTTGACTGCCATAGGGGCCATGGCGTACATAACACGCATATTCCGGTGTTCCTGCTGTTTTTCTACTTGACAGTGTCAATGTGAAAGTACTGTTGTAAATAGAATATTGCGCCTTTACAGAATTAGCTTCGGCAAATGCCTTGCGTGAAGCAACTTGAGGTATTGTGATACAACAGGCCCATTAAAAACTTACATACAAGTGATCGATTGTTGTACACCGCCAATAAGGGATGAATTGTAAGACTTCGTTTGTAATACACCAAGGCCTCCTCGTAGTCACCGGCGTGAAATGCCTGAAGGATTGATGGGGAAGTATCAAGTTAACCATATTCTTGAGCTGCTACCGAGAACTTGTTTTGAAAAAACAGAAAAACCTAGACTCGGTTTGATCAGAAAGTTAACTGCTTCAGCAGACGTCGTTCCTTTGCTAATCTGGGGGTTAAAAATAAGCACTGATCAAATATGACTAATTTAACCTGGTGGGAACTGCTTTGCATCCACACACCTAAAGCGCAATTCCTCCGCATCCACTTCAAACAAAGTTTTAAGATTAGTTTGACCAGTCAGTTAAGATAGAACCAGCTAAGCCGGTGTAGATCGAATAGACTTGGAACCAGATGATCGTAAATCAGTGCCAAGAAGTGCAGCGGTGGTCACGTTTCTTCGAACGCGCAACCCACAATGTGGATGGGTCTCGAGCAAACAAACTGAGCAAGCTGTCACTTTTGTGATCGAATAAAAATCAGCGTAGGGATAAAAGTCCTTCATGACTATTTTAACACCAGGGCCACAACTTCAAATATAAAACAAACTCACGGTTACAAAGTAGACGGTAGTATAAACACTGCCAACTGGTTTAAAGAAAGTGTTTAACGAAACATTATTGTGTTAATAACAAGATAGTTTACATGTGAAAAACCTGCCGAAATTAGTGTGTGGCTTTTTCCAGCTCATCATCTTAACAAACCGGTATTTTAAAACTGCGGAGGATCTATGGTTACAATGTACTTAAGTATTCCAACGCATCACTAGCTAGTGTCCTATACCTGTCTCAGTTACCTAGATGCCAGTATTTGACCATATCGCATTCTGTTCAGTAACTGTATTGAATTGGCTGACATCGTTCCACATCCATGGTTCAGCCGGATTTGACAACATTCACATGGAAACATTGCAGGTGCCAGGTGCATGATTATTTCAAATACACTTGCATAAACAATAAGCCCCTACCGTGTGGAAACCCAACATTTGTACCCTATGGTAGCTGTTCAGGACCCTCCCACTATCATGCAGAGATCCTCCCACCGCTGCTCTCAGTGGTACAGGATGTCATTATTGGTGGAACTAATGATAGCACGGGGGCAACATCGCTTCTGTCAACACTCTTTATGTACTAGCAATCTACTGATTGTACGTAGCAGTCGAACCGAAACAGCGATTACCGGGCTCGGAACGGATGTCATCCAGCTAGCATTCTTCAAAGTCCTAGACTGCTTAAATTACTGCATCTTTCTCTAAAAGCTGAAAACCTACATAAGTGGAACAATGCCCTTGAATGGAGCTGGAAATTTCTTAGCCTGCGGTGGCTGCAGGTGCGGGTACAGGGTTAGTTGTCTGGTCAGTGATGGGGTCACGATTCTACCTGGTATTCAGTCAAAACCTCGCGCACATCATCAAGTCGAAGTCCTCCCTTTGTCGAAGGCATTAAGGTATAATTGGTGATCAGTAATCATGAAGAGCACGAGTTGCTGGAATGAGACCTGGACCGTGCATTTGAATAGTCAAAGACTACTCAATGTCCCTTCAATGCCAATAATTTGGCAGTACGTCAACATCGAATGACACAGATATAGGCTAGCAGACCGTATTTTGAATACCGGCTCACAGGCGCGCGACCTTAAGATATTTATTATGATGACCTTGGCATTAGTCTGCAGAATCCAAAGACACCCTTCTGGAGGCTGCATCTCTACAGGATTTTGACATTGTTTGACTGTCCCCAACTTATCCCAGCTGGGGTAAACATCAGTGAAATCGACCGCAGCTTCAGCCAGGAACTCAAACAAAGGTTACGTAATTTTCCCGAAACTTATAGGTCTCAGCGCTCTTCAAAAATGGAGACAGCGGCTCTCTGGAAAATTTCGCAAACTCATCCATTTCATTCGGATCACTGGTCACGGAAGATTTGACATCCGTGAAGTTATTCGTGAAGTTGATGGATCACTAACCACCGATTTGCACAGGCGCATGGAACGCTGCGATGAACACTTCCACTACTAATTCGCTTGGCCTCCTCCTTCCGCCTGTCTAACAAATGTGCCTAACGGAGCGCCATAGAACGTTTCCCTGGAACCACCCACTACAGCTGTGGTCTGCCTTGAGTTTCGCTACTTGAAATGATCCAAGACTGCTGGCACAAGTAGACTTTCTCCGGAGCTTCCAACTAGGGTTGTGAGGTAATTCACAACCAGTTACCAGCTATGTTCTTCAGGCTTTGGTGTGAAGAATAGTTTCCACAGTTTGGGGCCAGTCAATCATCGTCGCAGACTTTAAGAAGGGTGCCTGTACCATATATGCCTGCCACAGAGGAATAAGTCTACTATCTGTCGCCACCTAATTTTTAACATCCACCCTACTCCACAGACTAACACCGGTTGGAAAACTACAATCCCCTGAAGAATAGGCTGTAAAAGGTGTGTAGATCACATGTTTACGCCCCGCCAACACCTCGAGGAGCGTTACTTCTACCACTAGCTTACAACTGCCACCATTTTGGACATCAGAGCTGCATTTGAATCGGCTGATAGGTCTGCTCTATGGCGTTGTTTACAAAATAATGGGGTACTCGAAAAGTATACAGTCATCCTTCGAGCAATGTTTCGGGTTAAGTGAGGGATTAAGGTAAGCTTCTTACACCATTCACACTTACTAGCAGTGTACGACAGGTATTCCCCATGTCAGCATTTCTATTCAATTTTGAGACTGAGTGTGTCCTATTGAGCGCTATGGAAAATCACCGGAGTTCAGAAGTAGAGCTTCATACAGACAACTGTGCGAATGACATGGACTATGCTGATGCTATTGCCTTGCTCGGTGAGGATCCCCAGAGTATGCAAGTCATTCTAAACCTCCAGAAAACTGAAGCTACCAAGTATACCATGATCCTTGCAACTAGAAAACGCAACGTCATGCTCCAACACTGTTATTCAACTGTACCAGTGCTGACTCATGCAGATATGCCGCATGAACAAGTAGCTAAAGTTGTATACAGTGGGAACAGCGTCGTTGCCGGTGGCAACTATGCAAGTGAGATACCATTCGTATTGCCGAAGACCGATAAATTTTCCATGAGCCAAGGCAGTGTGGGGTCGACGAAAAGAATCGATTTAGCTAGAGGACAGGGATTCCACTTAATTTTCCCAGGGGCAAAGGCTGCACGAACGGAAGCCTTACACAATCCATGTACATAACCTGAGTCAGATATACGTCCTCTATAAAGGTTGTGAGCGGAGGAGAGCTAGTGTGAGGTGGGGACAACACATTTACATAGACAACGTAAAGTGACGCGTCAAACGTAATAAGGACGTAACACCATGCAAGCCAATAACGCTGAGAACACACAAAGGATTAGATCATTCCTCCGTTAAGTACCACAAAAGCGCACACAAACACCTTCCCGGCTTCCACCAATTCGACCAGAGAATCCATGTGAATATCAGTTAGTGTATTCCGAGTAGCACCGCCACATTTTCATTTGGGTTCGTAACCAGTTGTCTCCTATGGACATTTTGATGGAAGAGGGCCATGGACCTCTACCAACCCCCGAATCGGATTGTGACACTACCTTAGTCTGAACCATAACCATTGACACGTGGCACTTGGTAGGTGCCACCCAACGTAGCTCAATAGCTCACGGAGGTACGCAAAACCATCTCATCGAGTTCAGGTCCAGTCGCGTCGCGAGTGGATTGGTTTCTTCACTATGTCTTTGTTGTACTGTGTTCTATCAATTTGAGACTTGACTCCACTTATGGGAATAGTTTCCATTTGTGTGATAGATTATGAGGTTTTGATGATAAAAGGGGTTATTTATCGGAAAGCTCATAATCCACTAGAGAGCTGTACATCTGACTCACTTCTCGTAGGTAGGGTGACTGTCTAGGTGTATAAGATACCAGTGCTTCCACTCCTATCGGTTCGAAACACATGCGCTACAGTTCTCTACCGTTGAGCTTTGTTCTGAGTGAACGGAAATGACATTACAAGCTAGGAACTATCACGTAGAACAAGCAATGCAACCAAAACCAAACACGATGTCACCGACCTGGAGCGGGCGCAACGTCGGGTTTACAAGTGCGTCTTTGGAGCTGTTATAATTGCGTAAATGCCTGATACGATTGTAACTGGCACGATTAGAACACGCCTACGTTAACGACTAGGAACGCTAGCCAATCGAACGGATTTGCGCTGACCTGATGGCGTTAGCTTAGCCCAGGGTACGCGCTGCTGAGGCGGACTTTGAGCGAGCGTCAGAACGATCCTAGCACGTATTCGGGTAGACGCTGAGCGCTCGGAACGGACGAACACGAGAGGAGGTTACGGTAGGCGCGCACTAGTGGCTTAGAAGAGACGCTGCCCGGCTAACCATGCACACAAAATCACGTGACCGACCGACACCCAACTAAGTCGAAGAGGAAGCAAGACAGGTGGTCCTCTGAAGGCTCTTTTACGACCAACAAAGGGCGAACCCCAGCCAATGCAGTCAGTCATTAAAATAGAGAAAATTGCTACCACGACAGGTTGGCAGCTTGTAAAAAAACATTGTCAACAGGTGTGCAGTTGGGCCGCGTCTCGGAGTGGCTGAACGCTGCTGCGTTGTGGGGGGGAATTGGACCCCGTTTTCCGCAGCCATTATGCAGGAGTTTCTGGTGCGTTTTTGCGGGGATATTTGTCGAGCCCGCAACTGGAGCGCCACATGAGAAGAGGCGAAAACACCGTTATTGCTGATTGCGCGATTATCTGTTAATGAATATATCGTTCTGAGCTACCCAAAACATATTCAATCCTCTCTACTGCAGGGTAGCAATAACACTTAGCCGAGCTCATTCCTTGAAACTGGCAGAAAAGTATAACCGTCGGAGTGTTGCGGAAATCTCTGCTGTCCGGTATGTGCCGCCACTGTAACAACCTACTACATTCGGTCTGTTTCGCAACAATAAAACTTGTTTAAGTACGGTAGGATGACGCACTCAGGCACTTACATGTCTTAGCGACCGCAATGGGAACCATGAAGCAACAAAATGAAATATTCCCCAGGAGCAGGCTCAGTCGAACAACAACGTAACAAAGGCAATAGGCGAGTGAAACCTCGAGCGCCTTATCAAGCACGTCACCCAACCACGGGGTGGATGCCATGATGCAGCGCGCGCGCGCACGTATTCCGGTTCGAATCGCTACATCCATCAAGCGCAGACCTTTCAACATTGTGCTAAGTGAGAATGCCGCACCCCGAGATTCACCGCGGTGTGCACGCTCTCACTAGCTCAAATTGCATGCCAGTCGAGCTTCGACAACGACCGTGTGAGTGACTTCACGTCAGTATTCCCAACGGCCTTCGGACTCAGTCACGTGGGTACCGATCAATATACGGACAGCACAGCGATGAGGTGCGCGGACACACGGTGTAATCAAATTTCATGTAGAGAGGCAAATACCTGTAAGGTGAACTGCCAACCACCATGATCACGTGTGACTGCTATGTCAAGGTGGCGCCACAGGACTATTACGAGCATGTCCTCTAGCATGTGTGCAGCTTCAATGTATCCAACCATGCTTGCATACGCGTGTCGAGCGCGGCTTCGTACACACCAAGTCGCACGCGAGCTTCGCCACACCCAAGTGTTCCCTGATGATCCATGTTGTAAATTCGTCAGATACGCTATTTGTCGATTTGGGATTGGTCATTCAATGAGTGTCGCGCGCTTTGAGGCGTTCGTGCTCGTGGGGCGTTCGCGCCTGTGGGTTGATATCTGAATGCGTTAAGGACTATTCTGAAAGATGTATGGATGAAGCCGATTGCCTTAAGACCGAGTTTGACAGCATTTTGTTGTATATTACGTCTTAACCTTGCTTTGTGTTCGACACCCACTGTGCGTTTTATTCGCTTGCGCAGGGTCGCAGTGGTAGATAGCTTGCGGTGATGAACTTATCGCTTGGCGACTTCCAGTCTAGCTTTTTTTGTCCTTCTTCTTTGGATCTGGGGAGCCAAGGATGAATGACACCGCTGGTTGAATACATTTCGGTTTCAATGAGGGATATATGCTTCTGTGAGTTGATTCGGCTGCTAAACACCGCAGTGAATATCCTGATATATAGAGGCTTGTGCAATCGCAGAAGTAGGTTAATTGCTTTCTCTTTTGGTGTTTTTATACTCATAAGGCCCATTCATTCAATGGTTGTCAATGACTCGGTTCATTGCGTTGATGATTTGCCCTAATCGCTTGCAGCTGGTAATTTACCGCATCCGCATGCATTTCAGCTAAGTTTTTCCCGAGGGACGGGTAGTAACGTCTCAAGTGTAGGAGCATGATATTGAGGGATATGTTGAGTTGCTATCTGTTATTAACACACTAGCAGTCATTAACTTATTTTGTTGAATGGTAGTATCTGAAAGTTTTAGCCTAAGGTAGCACTTCAGTACCATGGGATGAAAAACCCATATCCTTATGCGTCGTCAGCTACTCGTCTACCTTGTCTTCTTGGGTAAACTATGCTATATTTCTATAGGGTTCATTTAAGAGCGGATAATATCGTATAGCTAAGTTGCAGCGTCCAAAGCAGAGCACCGTGGACTCACTTCGTTGCCTTTTTCCTTCTCTTTCGTGGCTAGTTGATGCCGCGTGTGCTCTGGTAGAGTAACCACCCGTTTTGCCAGCTCTTTAAAATTCAGTCGATTTATTCCACGTAGCTCAGTCTCGGAAACATCCATTCTGTCACCTTTCTCTTGGACGGTTGTTTTTGGGGCCGTCTGATGCGCTTCATCCTCGCCCAATTCCTTGTCCCATTCCTTCTCTAATCTGAAGGGAACAACGGATCAAGTAGGCGGAAATGTGCATGACGCGGCTGGTGGGGAAGCGAACTAGGAAAACACATTCCAGTGAAAATGATCTGGAAGACTTAACCACATATTGCAATGGCATGCAGAGATTCAATTGTTTTGCTGTCTACAGATAGGCGTCGTATGCTGCCAGGTAGCAGTAAACCTCCTGCACCATATTTGTGTTTCTGCAGACCAGGAAAATGTTCGGATGGACGGCTCATACATTTTCATGAAACGGTTTGGGGTTCATGATCATGGCCACATTGGTTCAATACATGTCGTCACAAGGTGTACAAACACCACCTTAGCGACTTTTCGACTAGTCTAGTGAATTTGGGATGCACAGTCGCTCAATACAGACCGGAAGCTTAACCACCGCATTGAGGGTTAAAGTGAACCGGCCATAGTTAAACGCCCGTTCCAATAAGGCACTGATTTCATCTACAGAAGCATTTGATAGGCAATAACGAGATCCACAATAGGTAATGTAAGTTCTAAAAGTCCCTTTTCATCCATTACCACCGACGGTGGGCAGGTCACCTAACCGTATGCTTTCGATTGTAGCCGCATTATGTCTTGTCTACCGATACAGCATTTGTTTGATAAAATGTCTTTAATGAGTATTGGGTGCCCCAGCAACGAAGTATGAGGAATAGGATGGGAGTACCAAATCGGATTGCCATGCACTCTTTTCTTTAGGCGGAAGCATATAACCGACGACGTCATTACCATTTACACCAATACACTCAAGAAAATTGGGAAATAAAGGAGATTCTGGAAGATGTTTAGCTACGTATCAACGGTGTCTTCTATTCAAATAAAATGACGGGCAAAGAATTCCCGTTTCAAGGGCGAGTTGTTACAGCCTTACTCACACTGGCAATGCGCATTCAGACGAGCACTGAACAGCCACTTCGCTCACTGCGGGACTCATCTGTACTGCACCCTCGACCTGTCCGTATCATACATTCGACCAGCACGTAGGTCATAATCCACTAGTCCCTTGTGAGGTTAAAATCATAGGCTATATGCTTATAAGCTCGTAGTTATTACCACCGGGAATACGGGCTGCGCAGTGGCCGCTGTGCTTTTCTGTATATCTGTCTGGACGCGGCTGTGACCGAGCTGTCGCAAAAATTCAGCCCGAAGCCGTCGTTTCACCAATCACAAAGAGTCTCTAATCACCCGATCTAGTTTATTATGCCATCGAACGATGAGACTCAACGAGAGAAGCTAGCACCTTACGTGGATCAACTCTGCCAAGTACACGTTGGAAACATATACGCCAGCAAATGCTGAGCATTTCGATATATCATAGCTCGTTACTAATTGCGGTGGCTTCCCACGAGTTGTGTTAACCCCACACTAGTAATAGTCGGGTCACGGGCTCTAGCCATGCTACTGACAGTGTGGTCGAGCAATACGCAAGTGACTAGATATAGAGAAACGGCAGTACAATGCCATTTGTGGTGGGCAATACTTGTCTGCCGAGAGCAGCCGTAACAAAATTCCCTGTAAAAATCTAACCCAATGCCAGCCATTCACTAAGCTTTATGAAATTTATCTTGTTGGTTTTATAAAGTGGAGTCCAACCCAGTATTTGCGGCGTGCAGGAGAGTAGAAGTGGCATTGCCGTTGGACAGACTTTGTGTAGTGGAGTAGGTAAGTAGCGACTTTTAATTAACGTATACAATAGTATTTCCGCTGGTACCCCACTGGTTGAGGATAACGCAACTGAGACCATTCTTGTGGTACTATGATATCATAATATGGACCTAAAGGCAGGGAACTCAGAAACGTTCATTCATCCTAACCATTGACGTCAACTGGCGCTTGAGTAAACCGGATTCGCCATTTGTACAAAATGCACATGAATAGAGAAGTAACAACTTTTATGCATTACGGCAGATTAACTAGCTCTTGTGCCTAGTAGAAATTAAATTATGTGGTTACTCACACCTGCTGACCCCGGCGAAGTATATTGGATTTTTACTTGTCGGATTCGAAGTATCGCTGCACACTTACTTGTCCCAGTCGCTATAATCTCTTGGCTTTAGGATCCGCCGCATTTGAGTAGTGCCAACGTCACAACCAGCCTGAATTGCAAGGAATAGAAAAACGTGAGTCTGAGTGAAGATTTAATTGCGATTGGCTGCAGGACTTAGAGGCAACAGGAAATCTGTAGGTACCATGTGATGCTAGCTCTCAGAGCCACAAGTGCCCTCCTAAAACTTCCGGTTAAAAGCACGTGAATACCACTTCTGGACACCCCTTGTCGCACTATTTAAAAAGTGTGCACATGCTTCTGGTACTGCTTGTGACGCCTATGTTGTTCATGAGATGACTATGATGCATTGTTATTAGAATGAACGGAAAATTAAGTATACTTTATAGTTGGCTATATGCAATGCCGCCGGTTTACAGTTAAACTAACTGCGTCGCGTCAAAATGATCACCGTCCTAATTAGGTGCCCAGAGCTGAAACCGATAGAGCACAACAGTTTTCAACAACTCATTACTACACTTCAATATTCACATACGGAAGATATTAATGGAGATAAATTTGACAAACTCAGCTAAATGACATGAGACACTCATTAAATAGGGTCATGGACGAACAAACGAATCGTGACCTAAACAGTGGGTACAAACAAAGTCGTCAGGACTGCTAGATGTGCGCCAAAAGCGTTTTTCCTAAACACAGAAAAAGTGTATGTTTCGCAATCACCCACCACTATGAGCAGGGTCACAATTCAGTTACGTTCAATGGCGCCCGTTTAGATCCTGATTCCTGAAAATTTGTTTCGTTTCGGATCGAATCTTCTCTCCGAGACGTCATGTAAATCTCAAGGCAAGTCCATAGGGTTGAACTATATCAGCAGTGTTCCCTAACGTGAATGTCGACTCTGTGCTTCGGATACAGTTCTTTTATGGCAGCTACAAGCCTGGCTTTTGGATTGTGTCCAATACTTCGGGTTTGGGAGCAAAGGGAATGCAAATTAGCCCGAATGATAAACATTTCACTTTCTTTCGTAATAGCCATTCACTTTGAGTTCGGTAAAGTACAAAAATGACTTCTTTGACTTCGAACCCGAATACGGCCACGCTCAGCTGCTTTTGAATGCAACCCAGAAGCCAGGAGACATCTTGATTGCAACAACCACTTTCCCTAGCAATTTGGCCAAATGCCAGCTGATTTCAAACTTGCTATATGCGGTTTGGTGTGTGTAGCTTGCAGCAATGTGTTCCGTCGACCTATTCCAGTGCATTAAGTTCGTAGCTACTTGGAAGCTTACTAATATCGCTTGCGGAGCAACAGTTCAGCCACGTAGCTAGGTTATCTGTGGTGTTTATGTGTGCTTCAGGTGCATTCAGTGGTTTAAATAGCTCGGCACACTCTAGCACCCCACTCCATTTCGAATCGCGTTTGCCTTGGTATGTTTTGCAACTATTCAAAGGCGGTCCTGTACCCAGCCTGGGTGGGGGGGGTCGTAGTCATTGCCATACACTTTTTACCAGATATTATAAATACATTATCCAACCCAGACTTTGTGGTCTTAATTTTTATCGATAAAGTCGTTGACATGTGGTTGCCGTAAGCAGTACCCCGACTACTTACGTCCGAAATCTCAAGCTTCTATATTAGAGCAAAACCATCCAGAAGTTTGCGGCAGATACAAGTGCAGAACTTTCGTCAAGCACAGAACGGTTTACCGTTGTCCCATGCCGCAGTAGAAACGCTTTTAACATTTCAGTGAAACCTTCCACGTGGTGAGTTCCTGGATAAGAAATCAAATGTATCGATAAGTTGCTCCACTTAATCGTTGTGTTTAACTCGAAACAATGGAGATCAGGCGTCGTTCCTTATGTTCCTCACACGAAATTCTGTAAGTGCGAATATGAAGAATTGGGAGCCTATGACAGTATTCACTAGGCCTTTAACTGGGTATTGATAGGAACTGCATGCCTATTGCTCCTGTTGTAGCAATGCATCATAATGACTTAAGTCATTTGCCGTACTTATTCGCTAAAACCATGTTGCATTGTGCTTCGGAGAGACAAGTAAAATGTAACTGCTTTATGGATTACAAAATTTTGGGCAATGCGACGAGTGGAAGTAATTCTTCTATGGTAAGCTGAAGCGAAGGATCGATCATCTGTGCTTGGCAAAACCGATTTCATCTGGTGTACAGTTGAATGTGAAGCCTGCGGTTAACAAGGTACGTCGCGTCAAAAAGCATACTTCAAGGTTACTCTTTCCATGTGAAGCATACGATCGTGGACAGTGTGTATATTGATTCGCTCTTCATAGAACTGCTGCACTTAGTGCGAGAGCGTTCTGTGCGACCACTGTACAAAGAAACTACTTGTTTTACAACGTTTTCGGTGATCACATTCGGGTACTTGTTTATTGTGCTTGAAAACCTTCGTAGCGTATCCATCAGACTTGGTTTGGTTTCAATTTTTTCAATCAGAAGAAAATATGGGCTTCCAGTTTTCTGATGACTGCGATAGCAATAAATGAGAGAAGTTTTGTTTATCTAATTATGGTTGCGGACAGACATGAATGGAAGATTGTCTTTCTTTTGGGCCGACTTAGAATGTAAACGAGTTTATTCTTTTACAGTTAGGGTGGTATCTGGTCAATCAGTGAGTTAAAACTAGTCCGTGTATTCAGGCCCTGTGAAGCACATAAACGCTTCCACTGCAAAAGTCAACAACAAACGTGGGACAAAACCTGTTATACTAAACTGCGACATTTCACTGATGTTAATGGGAAGCGCCTTCAATGCCAGTGTCGTCGTGGTGCTGTTTATGGATGCGAATTCTGGCCGTTCCATGTAGATGGCTTGCGTAGGTCTTCGGTCTTTGAAGGTGGCTGTTTGCAAAGAACCGCTCGTCTATGATGGCAATATCAAGTACGCAAGGATGCCATTAGACACCAACGTCTTGGGCAAGACCTGTCTCTCCAGCTGTTAGCTTCCCCAGTTGTGCCAGTTGAGATTGCTTGTCCATGTCAGACGCACACCTATTGAGCATTTACCATGTCGCTCTCTATTCGCGCTCGCAGTGCCACAATGGAAGAAGTTGCGTAGTGGTGAAGCGACCACTTGATAATGCAGCATAAAAACTCTGACTAAGTATTGATAACTGAAGCTATGCCGTTCATGATGATGGCGTGCGATGATTACTCTGCTTAGCTAACACCTAGCTTGACCTGGACTTCTTTCCTAATAGCTACTAATTTGTGCTGCCCTCTTAGGCCTACGTAAGCTGATACTACTTCATACCCCATAAAGCCCTTGGTTGTTGAATGGAAAATAAGAATGCAGAAATTCGTCAGCCCATCAGACAGTGGAGTGGAAACACCTTTCGAACTGCTTCTACGTCCGGTTGTCACACAAATTCCCACATATTCGACGTACATGTTGTTAGAAGCATAGAACAAAGGACGATGAATTTATACGGGTAACGAAGCAATACTTTATATATCCCGTTGGGTGATTTTACAGTGCTGTCGAAAATTAAAAATATTCGTAGATTATTTACGTTTAAAAGAGAGACTTATCGTTTCTTTCACTGTAGTCCTAAGATCCGTGTAGAAACACAGCATAAACATCTCACAGCAACTAAGCCCAAAGTATATTCCAGGAGTGGGTTGGAGATGTAGTACTGGATAACAAAGTGTAGTTGAGTAAGTGAGTCGTCCAAACCTCTTTAATATATGGGTAGTGAAAGTGCAGAAATGCCGATTCTGGAACAATATTCCACGGGTAAAACGCGAGGCCAGAAAAAAAGTCATGCGGCAATCCAGGTGGCTGTACTGTTCTGCCAGTTTTAGTGAGTGCCATCTCAAGTTGGTATTACTGTTGAGTTACGGTAAAGAGCGGCACTCATGAGGTGGTTCGTGCAGAAGTAAATACACCTTATCAAGTCACCTCGTAAGCGGCGGGGACGTCCGTTGAATACCCAAATCGTTCCATCCTCTCCTCATATGGAAGATGATGCATTCCAATGACGTATATTAGTGCTCGAATTGGGGATACTCCAATGCACTAAGGTCGCATTTTAGCCATGGGTTCCAGCCTTGAATGGCATACTCGACATGAGGACGAATATACGTACTAAGTATTTGCCGGAAACTAGAGCAATTTATTTGTTCGAACGCACGTCGTAACAGGCCCACATTTTCGTTACCAGTTCTGGAGGCTATCGTGGATTGCCTGGAACCACCCTGATCATCCTGAACCAGTACGCCCAAATCAGTTCGTTGGCAGCTCGCTGCGACACATGCGTTCCGAGGGTTTAACAGTGGTCGCTCTGGTGTCGTATTGAGAGCACCTTGCATGTACTCACATTGAATTGCAGTGAATTTTGGATGGACCACTGATATGTTGTGTCTAGATCAATCTGGAACAGTTGCTGGTCAGTATTCCCCTGAACACTGCGCCAAATCTTGACGTCATTGGTAAACAACTGATAGCTAGATGTAACTGCGTGTGAGATCATTGCTAAATACCCAAAACAACCGGGGACCTAGCACTGAGACTTGAGGCACACAAATTTCAACTTGTGTTGGGTCAGAGAAGCAGCTCCAAACTTTGACCACCAATTACCGCTGAAGCAGATAGTTGGCAATCCAGCTTAGAAGAGGGTCTCCGATCCCGTAACGCTGCAGCTTGAAAAAGGAATTTCCGATGATGTAGACGGTCGAATGCTTTCAAAAAACCCGGGTAGATCACATCAACATCATCTCCAGCATCAGCTGACTGGGTCCAGATACTCCATGCTATTAGCAAATTCGTTGTGCATGATCGATTTCGACGGAAGCCGTGCTGCTCAGAAATAATAATGTTAGAGTTGTTCAAATAGCCCACCAGCGCATGGGCTGTGATGGATTCCATCACCTTGGACAGTTTAGAGAGAATGGAAACTGGGCGATATTTGGAAACCTGGGTTTTGCTTCCACCTTGGTGAATGGGTGTTATTATTCAAAGCATCTACGTGACAGGAACTTGGTTTTGGTCTAAGCAGCGCTGGATGAACTGAGCCAGTGGCTCTACCATTGACTTGCTGCTGCTCCCAGTGCCTTTGGGCCAATAATGTCAACATCCAGAGATTTGTGCTTGCTTAGAGTGGTCCGCTTCTGCAAGACATCTTCGGTGGTAAAGAAGATGTGAGTGAGTCCTGGCGGCGGGGCGATAAAAGCTGGAGGATCTCCTGATGGTAATACCCTCCGGAAGGTGAAGGCCTATTGCTTCCGCAGCGCTTTCGCTGCCTCCGTAGTCGTTCGTGTTGGGTCACCAGTCGTCGTGAGTGGTGAAACTCATTGCCTGTACGGACAAGTATGTTATTCACAGATCGTGATAAGATTGTAAATTTGCCCGTGCTGTACGATTCCTGTCTGTAGAATTTTCCAGCACACCTCAGCTGTTAGTTTTAACAGAAACTGTTTAGTCTATTCATCACTCCTTCTGCGATGCTAATATGTTCGTGCTATATCTTGAAATCCTTGTGTTTCTACACTTGAGAATTGTGCATTTTCCAACGGCAGTGTTATAGGAAATAAATTGAAGGAAATTCGTAAGTGGTGTAATAATGCTGTGTATAATAGCATGCTAGATGAAGAGTGATCTGAGCGTACCTGTAATGCTTAGCTACGATATTCGTTCGCACATTGGGAAATTAGGTGAACTATCGTGCATCGTCTTGTAGGACGAATTTTCGCAGCTTGGCGTCATTAGGTTGTAAGAAACCTGGATCCTCGAAGATATTAATGATGTTGTCCTACCCGTTAGCAAATGTTTGGACATCGGGTTAACCGCACATGCACAAACTGAAACAGAGGTGGTGGCGTCCTTGTTTATACTAATCAATGCTGTGCATTGCAACAAGACGCTTCACATTTTGTTAAATGCTTAGTCCTACACACAAGTCAAGGTGTTTGAACGGTGACGGCTCACCATTGTTGGCTAGCATTTATATATCTCCTATCTGTCCCAAACTAAAAGTAGTGCATTTTCACCATGAAGCTACGGCAGCTTTTATGGTAGACATTGATTATACTTGCTGTATCTTCGACGGGGAGTTCAACACACTTGATACCATTTTTCTCTCCACTCTCGGGTTATGGTATATCGTAAATTTGCCCATCAGAGAAGACGCAACTCTGAACCTGGTTTTCATTAGTAATATGAGGTAGTTGACCGTATATAATCGGGCTCAGATTGGCAGCTCCGATCACACAGCAATAAAGGTTTCCCTGTCCTATCCAGCCAAATAAACCACAAAGACATCTCTCGCTGCAATGCTCAACGGTTCAGGTGGAGACTGTTCTCTTCACAAAATGTCGACCGACTTCGCGTAATGGTTGCGCCCATAGGATCTAATTTATTCTTTGCTCCTAGTGTATCCAAGTAATTCGACAATTTGACTAACCATCCTAATTTCTGTTTTACATTTGTTATCCTTGAGAAAATATCTTTGTTGGTACTGACAGGTTTTTGTTCCTCCACGGGAACCGGCTGTGCCGACTTAAGAAGAAGATCACAAGGAGGGCACTTACTGTTCGTGTCAAGATAGAGCCACGTCGTCTTTGCCAAGTGTATATTCAGTTTATTCTTAGGAACGGTAGGTGTCGCGAACTCTGGAGGATGCAGAAACAGCTAAGCGGAGATACTCGACGTGCGCCCTGTTTCGATGCGAATGTAGAGGAATTGAACAACCATAGTCAGGGTCTTCGTGTTCCCAAGTGCTGAAGTTTACATACACATTGCCTCCTGTTGATAGTGTAACAATGAACAATTTACTAAAGCGCCTACTTTCTGGGACAAATAGCGGTCCGGACAAACGATCTCCTATCAAACTCAAAGGATGTGTTGACCTACTGGCAACGCCTCTTGCGTCTGTATACACAATTTGTATGCAGCAACACAAAATCGCCGACCGATGGATAACTGTCAGCATCACATCAGTGTCAAAAAAGGATTCAACGAATATCGACCAATCGCTTGCACTTCTGGTACCGTGAAGCTGCTGGAGAAAATCACTTTTGAAATGATGCTGTCTAATACTCGCCCCGATGACCCCTTCAGTGAGCGTACCGCAGGTAAAGGTCTACTCTAGATGCAGTGACCTGACTCATACGTTCTACGCTTTCGTTACTTGACAGCAGAAGCAGATCAACTTGAATGTGTTTTCTTGGTTATGGCCTTGTATTTGACCGCGTAAACCATGAATTGCTGCTAAAATACCTACTCATGCAAGGAATATATTCCTTCATCGTCTTTTTGTTGAGTGATTTGCTGGACGCCCTCAGATTACCCGATTCAGTGGCAGTTGCTCCTGTCTACTAATCAACAACGCCGGTGTTCTTCAGGGAGCAAGTACCCCACCTTTTCTCTTTTTCTACTTACGTCAGCTCGATAACAGTCCCTGCGGAAGCGACCCTGCTAAAATATCCTGACGGCATTACCCTGGGTATAAAGCATCGAACCATTGATTCCTCACTCAACTTGCAAGATCATATGAACAACCTTAATATTTGGTCCGAAGCTCATCATCTGACCCTTAATGCAGCAAGTATCATGAGATTCTTATCTCTCTTCACACAGGAGTCAGGTGCGAGTAGCTCCTTGCACAGTGCCCCGAGTTATGCATTGACGGCGATCGATTACAGTCTGCTACATCAGTGAACTACCTGAGCGTGGTACTGATCTATGATTCAATTTAGACACTTCATATAAATAAAACTTTCACAAAACTCAGAGGGTTATCATTCTAGAATTCTCGTCTAAGAGCGTCCTCCGTCCTTCGTTACTTGATGCATCGCTTTGTCGGTTCCTATGTTTTCCAATGCACACACTGCTCCCCTGTGAATATTCATGGTCTTCTGGGTAAGCACTTTAGGCAACAGCAGGAAGCACCACCAGTCGTATGTGGGCTAGAGATACTACGAGGGTCGCCCGGTCCCTATGCAGGTTCGAACCCGCGCCCTCGGATTACAAGGCAAGCGTGGATTCTTAAGGCCACAGGCTGGCGGTAAGCGCTTTAACTGCCAGGTCATTACGGCGTTCCTGGGCCTGCTTTTGTCAACACACTTCTGTCGACACACCAATTCTTGTTGGAAACTGGCAAATGATACTGGCCTATCCAAGTCATCTCTTTTATAATGTTTTATATGAATGTCTGATAACCTCGTCTACTAGGCATAAGTACAAGTCGATAAATGCGCACACGCAGGACTACCGCTCCTCGGTCATCCCAAAACTTTCGCGTTTTCTGCGAGACTTCAACTATATCATTTGGGACCTAACTAGCCGATTTGTAGTAGAACGGCATTCCTGTCTATTTTTATCAAACCGCCTTTATGGTACGGGTTCCTAGTTGATTTATATTTTGGTACATTGCTGAGATAATGTGTATTGTAATTGAATATTCACCTGCTAAGGGTGGGTAGAGCAATTTCTTGACTTGACTTGACGTGTATCTTATGCTCCTGCTCATGGCTGGGGCTAAGAATAGAACGTCAGTGTTGTAAGAGTGAGTAGTATTATCACAATTAAGGTGCAATGGAACAAGAAAACGGAAACTACGACGATATACTGTACATAAAGGGTATCAAAACAGTAGCGTGGACTGAAACTGATCTCAGTAGTAAGCTTTGACATTATCTTTATGTTTAGCTTCATGGTTAAGGAAGCTATACAAAAGGAATATATTTAGACAAATGAAACTAGTGATGGCTGTTAGGCCTGAGTGACTTAATGATTTCACATACCCGAGTTGCACTTTTGTAGCCTGCCTTGAAGAAAACTTCCTTTCGGATTGGTTGTACTTCCGTGTCATATTCCAATCCAGTCTCACAGATTTCAGGTTCAAAAATCGCCCCCTTTCTGCGTAAGGAACTGCTGATATTCGTGTCATCTTGCGCATCCGAGTGTTGTTCTTCCTCCTCTTTCATTTGTGTTAGCCAATCCTGCAAAATTTGTAATGTATCACCATGTGTAAGTCAAGAATATTCCGATACAACTAGTTGGTGTGACGATGTCTAAGACTGCGTCCGACTTATGAAGATACTTCCGGGTAGAATGGACTTCTAACAATTGGATCTTAGTTTATGAAAAGCAGACCGATGTGATTTCAGGATTATTACATTTTGTTTCAATGAGCTATTACGGAGCTTTAACCGATGGCCTAAAACTTTTCATCCCATTCACCATTGAACTGACAGTAGAAGCATGTAAAGAAAAGACAGCCGTCTTCGGTCCTGCCCATCTCTAAAGTAACCTTGCTTGGGATATGGTTTAGGAAACCAAGATTGGTGCGGTGATCAATGGGACCAGTTGGTTTAATTCGGCATTCCCTAGGACCAAATTACAGAGTGGTCATTTTCAAGTGCTGTTGATTGGTAGGTCTTAATAATTGTAAGGAAGCCCAGTAGAATTTCGCCGTCTTATCCGGAAGGCAATTTAGAATGAACATTTTAAAATCGCACTAATGAGTGAAATGGAATCTCTATCTATAATAGATAATCGGGAAAACACGACACGTGGAGTAGCAGAGAGGTTCAGTGTTCAACCAAAAAGGAGACGAACGTAACAGTGTACTGAGGAAATGTCTCAAGCATTTCGCTATTTAAACGGGGTTGCTTTGCAGTACTTTCTAAGCTAGACAGACTACACACGTCCAGAAAAGCACTGGAGAGTCATCGCATCCCATAAGGATTCGTAAGCAGTGAACCTCCCTAGACTTTACCAGGATCCGATCCCACTCGCGGTCGAGGACAGTAGCTTATATCACTAGGATCTCACAAGATGTATGTCCTATAGCACCATCCGTTCTTTACTGTTACGCAGGTTACGAAGGCATAGCCGCAGTCAACTGTGGATAAGTGGCGTGATTCTGTGACTTGTAGTGCTAGCCATTGGTACGGAAAGACCATGTGTTCGGTTCCTGGTGCAGCCAAAAGAGTTCTCCAATGACTCGTTCCGATAGAACAAAACGGTCGTTTAGCATCTTGTCAAACGTGTGGTAGTCTGTTTGACTTGGAAGCTACCTCTAAGCGATCTCAATTTATTGCGTCAAGTAGCCCCTACTCACAAGTAATCATCTCAATCATGTTCACCAAAGTGGGGACTAGCAAAAATTAATTGACTTTGAGTCAAGTATGAAGGATGGACACACGAGATGGAGGCACTAGGATTATTGGTATACATCGTAAATCACTCCCAACCAGGAGTATCAGTTGGCGTTTATCGCCTTTTAGACTTGGGAGCTGGACAAGTGTTAGGTATTGTTGGCTCTGAACAGCGCAACCCTCGATTGATTCGGCGTTTATATGAACTTTTTTGGAGAAGTTAGCCAAATGACACTTGGATGCTGTACCCACAAACCCGTGGTAGACGTTTTTACCAATATACTGTCTAGCACGCGGGCATTGACAGGAACTACTAGGCATGCCTAAAGAGGAGCGACCAATTTATCCGAATGCACTTTCGCGCTTTAAGCACTCGAAAAGTTGCGAAATTTATGCTTGTTTTTCCGTCACCGCAGTTTTAGCTCAATGCTTTCAAACTTGACGCGCTCTCGTTCAGCTGGATCCATGTCAGAAAGAATATGCACCCGCTCGACTCTCAGCCTAATCAACCGAGGCAATATTAGATTCGCGTTGACCTTGTCGGCAAAATTGCACAATGCCGGTTCAAATGGTTACGCATCAGTTGTCAGGCTTCCACAGAATTAGTAGTTAACATTGTGTCTGTGTATTCAAACAAATAGTAAATTAACCGAACCAGATATGCCGTGAAGTGGTTAATTTGCATACAGTGATAACCCTAAGGAAACGTTTAAAGTAAGATCGTAAGACCGTGGAATGCTCTGCCTGCGGATTTAGTCTTGGCACCCACTGTGGCGGACTTTAAGACCCGCCTGGACTGTCATCTGGCCGAGTTACACCGCGATATTCCCTAATATAACTACCTTCTACTGGATGGAATTTCTTTCTTTTTTCTTCTTCTACCTACTTCCTTTCCAAAGCCGTTTCAGAGGACGTGGTGGGATGTCACGCTTTGAGCCGGCATGCATTCTTCTTAAATGCCGCATAAGCCCGATGAAGATACGGCTAACACGCGAGTCCAACCCGCTATAAGGTTGTTTGGCCTTCCATTAGACCAGACCCGAACTCTTTTTACCCCATGGGTAATGTAAAACTCGAGCTTTTATTCCCATTAAATACAATGTTCCAATACAATGCTGTGGTAGTAGTAACACTGGAAGCGACGATCTAATAAATGGGCCGAGAGGCAGACAAAACTATGCAGTTCGGCGGATGACAGATAAAATCACCGCAGCATCATCGTTATAGCACATTAGTCGAAAGTGAGCAAGATATTTTAGCTGTTGTGGCGCAACAAAGAGAAGCAGAACCCTTTATTTTGTTATTTTTCATACGACATTTTATTTATTGTTCTATTTGTTAGGCATTAAGTATCTGCATTTAAACAAGTATGCACATAGATCTCCCACTGGTTTCGGTTGCAAGTCATATATTGAATGATTTCGAGTCACCGGCACTCTTCTTCCTTATGTCCAAAACAAGGCAGGCGTGTAAATCCAACGGCAGCAAGATGTGAAGTCAATAATTTCATGTGCTGTCGGCAGGTGGATGGTTGTAGACGCCATGGTCTCTTCCAAAAGAGTCCTGCACGAGCGAAACGGGCGCATGAAGAGAACACTTAGCTGACACACGCAGGACTTGGCGGAGCCATCTTAACTGGTGCACTAACACCAGATTGTTGTAGCGAACACTCGCATCACCTAAGACACGATGTATGAATTCACCGTCTCAGATACTTTGTCACCACCACACCCGAGCGATTCTCCTCAAGCACCCATTATCGAACGCCGAGAGCCGGCTCATGTAGTCTACGCGAACTGGTCCTGACTCACTTCTAGATAACAACACCCCGAACGGTTGCATTGTAAACACTACCCTTTCCCAAAAGGAAGACATCCCGACGACGCCACAAGTGTTGAAGTTTGATAAACGTAGACCTTGCTTTAGCGATACAGAGAGTGTAATTTCTTTGCTGAGTAAATTATCATGACTAATATTGTAAGTCGCTTAATTCGTGCATAATGTTAATGAAGGGCCAGCAATCTTATAAGTTTGTCGATATATCCCTAGCCTTACTGAGACGCCAAACGGGGGATCGATCTGTCACGGTACTAGTTGGAAGGGTAACGGCCCACTGATGGCCGTCTTCGGTGCGCACCTTCTGTTTACTTATGTTGCACATTGTTCCCGTATCTCTGACGTAACACCTTGCGTGGATAAAGTCTGGCGGCTTGTTTAGTGCAAGCAAGTGCGTACACTGCAACTGCAGAATTTATCCGATCGAGAAATCCATAGGAAACTGTAAGTGAAGCATAAATCAGGAATTCTGGGAAGTGTCTTAGGTGTATAGTATACCCTAACTACTTGTTGACACGATGTCACGCGCGAATCGAAACAGTCGATTAAGACAGCTTCCATACAAACCGTTGTACACTAGGCAAATGAAGTTTATGTCCTGATGCACAGCCAATTTAGAAGACATCACGTCACATTATGACAATATTTAGTGCTCCATGTAAACTAACCAATTTGCTGAAACTTCATGATTGAAAACGTTTAAAAATCCATAGATTTGTTAAGGTTCCAGTCAGCTGAACCTCTCTGATATGCTCCCTTTACTTTGGTCAGAGTGAATGTTAAGCGGGGTCATAGATAGATGAGAATTACGCAGTCGAGATAACCGATGTTTATATAAGGAAACCTAACGAAGAGCGCAACAAAAATGTGTCCATGACACAAGCTTTGTATGTAAGGCTTCAGAAGATGTGAATGAATGTTGGAACAATAAGTTGAAGCCATTTAGGTGGTAAGGGCATTTTAAACAGATCTTGGGAGATCATTTACCAGTTCCGGACAATAAGAGCAGTGCTCCGAGGTAATGGGATGAGGGTAGCCTTTGCTTTCACGATGAAAGCGGAAAGATGGGGTTTATGACCAATTGTACTACAACACTGCGCTCGCAGCCAGGTTATCGGTTTGGCGCGACCTGTGCACAATAAACTGAAAACGACTACTCGGTGTCTTGTAAATTTTCGAATTGTTAGTTTCAAAGCAAGTCTGAGTCAGACTTATATCCAATCATCCTAACTAGCCCCACACTTGATCGCTTGAAATACGTGAACTTGGACCAAATGGCTCTAGACTGATAATTGGACCACACAAGCTGGACATACTTATTGTGCAAAATTCGTCTAGAATTTTGCTTTAGTGACCGCAACACACTCACCTAATGGAGCATGGATACAGTGGAAATGTGAAGGAAGCAAGCATCAATGCAGAAAGCACTCACCTGCAAACTGAACTTTATCTCTTCTCGTTCAGCTTCATCCAGTTGTCCCCATGTGGCTAGAGGAATTGTACTACGGAGCAAGCGACTAAATTCAAAAGGCAAAAGGCTTTCATTAGATACACTTCCCATTGCTAATAATGATTGTCACATCTTCGCACGAAGGTGTATAAGTAGCAACGAATTTTCCGGAGTACAAGCAAACTATTTTAATAGTTCAATAGTGTATGCTGGGCTAAAAAGCATCATTTTACAAGATCCACAGCTTGGATATTTAATTTAAATTAAATTTATTTTAAATCAAATTGTTCCAACGTAGAATGTGAATTATCAGTGGTTAAGCCATTGCACTTTATCAAAAGGTTGTTTGGCGTTTAGCACAAAGATGAAAGTCTAAGAGTCTTTCGAATATCATGTCTTATGCGTTCGCCACATGTGTTGGTAGTGCATTCCAGTGATAACAGATTGTGAGTAAAATTACTTTCTACAATTCAAACGGGGGTTGCGGTATTAGTTTCAAGTGGTTTCCTCGGCATTGTTTTTGAGAGGCTAGGGTCAGCAGTGATGTAGATAGGTACCCCCGCTCAGTTAGTATCCGGTATGTGAGAAGGAGATCTCTGCGAAGCCGTCGGTATTTTGAGGAGAACACACCGAGCACACGAAAGCGCAGTTCGTAACTTAGACCGGATAGTCCACGCGTTGTCTTGGCGGCTCTTCTTTAGGGCTGCTCCAACAGGCCAAAGTTTCGTTTTAGCCATGGACGCAAGGCTTGAGTCGCATATTCAACCTGAGGACGGATATAGGAGTTAATCAGCAATGGTACTAGCGGTCGCTCAAGAATGCCAAGAACTCGCCTCAAAGCATTAAGCTCAAGTTCGCCACACATGCGGCTTTCGAATATTGGAGCGAATTGCCAAAATTTTCTTGAACGATGATACCTAACTCGCGTTCATTAGTCATGTGTTGCAGGGCGCGTGTCCTCAAAAGTTATGTGTTGATGAAGCTGCTGCGCACCGTTAGCAGTTGGCACTTTGCAGAGCTCATTGGGAGCTGGTTAATTTCTGCCCATTCGTTAATACGAGCCAGCTCGTCCTGAAAATAGGCACGATCGTATACTGAGCAAATTGCTCTCCGTACTTTAACATCATCTGCGACTATTTGCGACGGGGATGAAATGTTTGCTGGAAGGTCGTTGATGTAGAACAAAAACGGTAACGGTCCGAAAAACGGATCCTTGCGGTACATCACTGAAGACGCACAAGCGTTCTACGTGAGTGTCGGCTACTCTTATTTTGATTGTTCTGTCGTGTAAGTAGTCTGCCAACCATATGATCAGGGCACATTTGCTACCGTAGGCAACAAGCTATCAGAGGAGAACGAAGTGACTGACCCTACCGAATACTTTAAAAAAGCTAAGTAAATCACACCTATGGGGACTCCTTCATCAGCCGCAGTAGTCCATGAGTCTCGAGTAAGCAGCAAATTGGCGAGGCAAGATCGTTTGCGTCTGAAACCAAGTTGGACATTAGAAATTATTTGTAGAGTTGCGAAGTATCGCGTCAGTTTATCCGCGATCACTGATTCCATCACTTTTGAGAAAATATTAAGAGAGTAATAGGTCGGTAGCTGGAAGGATCCGATCGCTTACCGCCTATGTATATTGGAGGGAGAATTCCATTTTTCCGCTCAAATGGGTTGATATGGGAGTCAAGCAGATCCTGTACAAAGGCTGGAGGTGGTATTGCTATGGTGGGAGCAAATGTGTTAAGTGCTTTTGGAGAGATCTTATCGATTCCAAGAGCACAGCATTTCCAGAGGGACGGTAATCTGCTTGCAACAGGTGCTGGGGTAAAGGTGACGCTGTATAAACTAACGACATTTGTTGGGAGTTGACAGGGCGAAAGTTCCATGGTATTTGTAGCCACTTAGCCAAACTGCATGAGTAGAGCGTTCGTAGCATCTACAGCAGTAGTTGTTAGGCCACTAGCCATCTTGAGTGGTGGTATTCCGGGCTAAATCTTTCTTTGCTACTCACATATCCGTATAGTAGCTTGGTGTTACTCGTAAACTTCAGTAACGTGGTCTACTGCCATTCGTATTCGTCGACTTTAATGAGCGAGGTGCAGTAGTTTCTGATTGCTTTGTAATTCTGCCAGTTGGTATCACACGGGCTTAGCGAATGTTACCCACAGATCTCATCTCTCTTGTTGATCCATTTGTGTGTTGTTTCGGTTCCAAGGATTGGTCCGGCGCGATGCTCCTAATGGTACAACTTTTGAGGCTGATTGTATGACTCACTTAATATTGTCTTTCAACTCATTCCATGAGTCGTTTGCTGAACTGTGCATCTGTAGGTACCAGTCAACGGTTGTCACCAAGTTGTGGAGCTTAAACAAGTCCGTAATAGTTCGTTGAATTTCTCTTGTTTTAGCAAAAGTACTGGCATAACATGCATAACGGAATGCTGGGACCGAATAGTCGCTACGGCCCCGTGGAGGATCGTATGCTACTGACTCAACCACCAACCGTTCATTACTCAGGATTAAGTCCAGGAGTGATGGCATTTTTGAACCGTGATGTCTAATTGGTCGATGCACATGGTTATACAAAACTGCCGTGTCGGTGAATTTAAGGAGTCAAAATTTAATGGATGGCCCATTAGAGGACACATGCTATTGAAGGTACATAGAACTCGCCCATCATAAGATAGTGTGAGTGCTTTTGTGAGCGAAGAGCGGGTAACAGAATGTTATCGCTATCTGGTGACGAGTTCGGTGGAGTGTAGATAACTGCTAAGAGGCAAGCAACACGCGTCTTCTTCTGTGATCCAACGTATCGACCTGTTAGGTGCAGTCGGCAAAATAATGCGTCCGGAATGACAATAAAATTTTCGGTAAGGGCCTCACACTTAAAGTAATCTCAAGAGTAAAGGGCAACACCGTCACCGTCAGATGGACGATCATTTCGAATGACTGATATCTCACCGAGTGCAATCTTTGGATCAAGGGTGTCATGTGAAAGCGAAGTTTCAGTAACTCCTATGTGGTCCTAAGTCGTAGTTTCATGTTGATGGCGCAGCTCCGAGGGCTTAGAATACAACCCCTGAGTGTTGGTGTAGCAGCATTCTATTTGTTGACCCATTAAGAGCTTGGTTCGCTGTGAGTGAGTGGCACAATAGTGCAAGTCTGCTAAACTTTTTTGCAACATTTGTATGCACGGCTGGCTGATCTGAGGTAGGTACAACCGAGACCGGCTCATTTGTATCTGAGGTCTGTACTATCTGAAGAATGGTCTTAACCGTACTTATGGTAACCCTAGGTTCCTGTTGTCATGCTACGCTTGGGTCGTCACTAATACCATTTCGGGCGCAGCCAAGGTAATCTTCAAAATTCGTGGCCCGCTACCTTTGTACTTTGTGGAGGAAGTTAGACAGGTGACGTCAAAAGCCACGGCATTCTGCATGTCGTAGAGCTCTGCGACTTACCTCCATTCTTCGATGTTTTGCATCCGTCGTTCACAGCTATGGTTATGTTTCAATCCTGGCACACTGTAAACAAGTACCACTTATTTCGTCACATGTTGACTTGACGCAATGGGGTTAGATTTCCGCTCCTGCATTTCCGCCCATGGCCTGTCAGGAGAAATGTGGGCAATGACAGAAGAGTTCACTAGAATGTGGTTTGTTAAGAGAACATCTTCCAGGTCGCGTGGATTGTCAAACGTCACTCGCAGTAACCGAGGTTCCTCTTCGTGTGCAGATGATGCATTTCGTGAAAGGCGTGTAAGAATGGTTGGGAGAATTTTCAGTCCGAGCGAGCAGGTTATTTCAGCCCAGTGGTTTTGATCCACGGCGTGTCCACCTTTTAGCGACTCGCTAGTGGGTTCTGGGACGTTGGAACCTATCACCGTCATGGCCTTTTGCTTGCGTACTACTTGTTTGTTCTGCGCTTTCTTGTGAACGGGCTTGTGATCGCTGCTTCTGTTGTGGATTAACAGGAACCTCAGAGGTAATAGCCTGAAAGTGAATCAACAACACAATCGTCTAGAGTGTCGACGGAATTTCTTCTCATTCCGGACCTGCCAACCTGATACGGACATCCAAACTCAGTTATCTGTGCTCCCACGTTAGCTGTTTTCAAAAAAAAAACGTTTACATATCGTATTGAACACCCTACGCTATGTTACTTGAAAGCAAATACTAGATTTATTCCGGCAACCTAGTGTCTTTGGAATTATAAGCCCCCACTGACGCACGTAAGTATGTGCATAGAAGTGAGCAATCTGCCTTCACTTGCTATGGGTATTAGCCATTATAACTTTTAATTGATTTGTCTGCACTATTTCACACGAATAACCATCCCTCTTAACACAATTCTCCTGTCGGTTTGATCATGCGTATTTGTTTGGTCCAGTTATGTAATATCTAATCCTCAATTTCTTCTGTCACCAACCTACAGGACATGTTATGCCTGTGCTTTTGTGCCCACTGGTGGAAGTCCATGAAGATATTGAGAAAGAAGTCAAGTGCCGGGGTGTGGACACCTTCCATTCTCAGCTACGCGACTAATGCAAAGTGATGTACCGAAGAACCACGTGAAGGCTGTCCGAAACGAATGAGGGCATTAAGTGACTACGTGGCGGAGTCTAGTTAGGATTACTTCTATAAAATGTGCGGCACTCATTGTTATAGCCTCTTTGAATAATCCGCAAGTGTTAACCTGCTTCTTACTCTTTTTAAATTCTCACCTCCAGAGATGTTGCAACCTGCACTGTGATGCGGTACAATGGTCACATATCTACAGCAGCAGTCCAGCGTACTTCCAGAAACTACCCTTATTCTCTCGTTGCTTGGTTTAGAGAATGATACATGAATGCTCCTAGCTGTACAATGTGAACAGTGGCCAACACTGATGAACTGGAAGCTAAATCTTGTATTCACACAATAAAAATTTTTATGTTTCATGCAGGAGACATACATATGCTTGCAAATGTACATGAAAAAACAGATGCGGAGCAGATAATATCACAAATCTGCAATCCTCGGTACCTAGCTCTGAATTCAGTCGTGCTGATAACAGCTGCTTATTA